GACCAATAATCTTCATTGATGGATGTCATTTGAGCGGCCCATACCAGGGCACTTTGCTTTCGGCTTCATCATTGGATGCCAACAATGGTATGTATCCTCTAGCTTATGGTGTTGTTACTTCAGAAAATGAAGTGGATTGGTTTTGGTTTTTAAGGCAGCTTAAAGATGTTGTGCATGATAGGGAAGTGGTTATCATATCTGATATGAATCCTTCTATATTAAGTGGTGTAAATGCATTATTTGGAGAAATGAATCATGCTCATTGTTACAGACATTTGCAAGAAAATTTTAGCTCATTCATCTCCAGAAATTCAACTTTCAGAACGACAAGTGCTACAAAAAAAAGTGCACATAAGTTATTGAATGAGATAGCATATGCTAGAACTGCAAGTGAATATGAAAAGGCTTTGAACAAAATAAAAGATTTTCAGCCATTATTGCATCAGTGGGTTTTAGATAACAAGCCTCAACATTGGAGTAATGCCTTGTTTAGTAAACTACGTTGGGATTGGATGAATAGTAATATTGCTGAAAGTTTCAATGCTTGGATGGGAGATGCAAGATATCTATCCATGGGCAGAATGATGCAAGCTCATGTAACAAAATATTCAAAACTATTGCTTAACAAGGTGTCTGATCTTCTTAATTGGAAGCATGACATTGGACGCAGAATTGAAGGCAAACTTAATGAAAACATCAAGCGAGGAGAAGGATTACAAGCATCACCAAGGCCTCCTCTTGAGGTTGAAGTTTATGAGAGGCACAAAGGTACAGTTGTAGTTAATTTTGGCAATAGTAGTTGCACATGTTTAGAATGACAAATGACTGGAATTCCATGTCGTCATGCTTGTTGTGCAATTGAAAATCAGAATCTAAATGTGTATGATCATGTTAATACCTGGTACAAAAAGGATATGCAAGAAAAAAATATATTCTGAACTAATACAAGGGATTACAACAAATGATATGCCAGTATTGGATATGCTACCGGTTGCGAAAAATCATGATGGTTGTATTGAAGGTTCATGCTCAATGTGTGGATTGCTACCGCCAAAAGCTAGGAGGCCTCCAGGTAGACGCCGCCGTAAAAGAATTGAGTCTCAGTTCATGGATAAAAGACCACTTCACTGTTCACATTGCAAAGGTGGCGGTCACAATCGTGCGACATGTAAAGAAGCAATATAGTTCTATTTTATTTTTACTTCTATAGACCAATTATATTGTGTCTCGGATTATTTTTTGCCTAAAGGTTTATAAGTTAAATAAGAGCCGTGCAGACTCTTTTTTGTATGAATTATATCATATGAGATTATGATAACCAGTGATTTTAATCTTTGTTTTTTGTAAAAGTATCGTTATACAAATTCATGTAGTTGTTTTCTTGATGCAGTGCTTTTGAAGAGAATAGGTTGAAGCAAAACCATTATTTGCAAGACTTGTTTGGACAGAGAATGTGTTGTATTATTACATAATGAAAAAAAATATCTCATAAATAAACACCGGCTAATCAAAGCATGCTTAACTCAGTTTGACAACTTCATTTCAGAAAGAAACAAACTTGAGCTAATAAACAACAACTACTGATATTTAAGAAGCTCAGAATATTTCTAAATTGTTGATACAGTTTATACAATTGAGTTCTCCTTCCAAAAAAAAAAAAAACTGAATTTCAGTCCATGCACTTCAGAAACACATTCATAAGGTGGCGAAAATACTTCAAACACAAAATAACAAGAACTCATTTGTACAGAGAACACTCAAGACCAACTCCGTATCAAATTTCGGACGATGTCTTTCAAGACCAACTTTGCTAGTAACTCTCTTAAAACTGATAAAGTGACCATAAAGATATGTTTAACAACCGAGCTAAAGAGATCATTCCCACATAATAACTCTCTCATTAAACTTATAGAACGGCTAAGGCTTATGAATATTAACTACTTATACTTAATGATCTTTGTAAGAATTTTAGTTTGTAATCACTAGCTCAGGTTTACAGCTTGATTAATGATTATGCCTCAAAATTTCAGAATTGATAAATTAAAAATTACTTACTCGAAACCTTGACAGAATTAGAATCGAAGATGATAGCTGGTGCTCGAATTATCCCAAAATTCCAATCATCCCTTTTTCTTTCTTCTTGAGCAACCCTTGTTGCTTTTACATTTTCCAAAAAGCTTCTTGTGATTTGATGTCCTTTTTCTTCAATTGATCAAACTTCAAGGTGACCGTTACTTCTGGTTTAAAAGAAATTAAAAGGGAGAAAAGAAAGTGAAAATTGATGGTGGTGGTGGTCGTTGCATGAGGAAAAGAGGAGTAAAGATTGGCGGTGTTTCAATAAGGAGAGATGGGGAGCAAAGATGATGATCGTGAGTGGAGAGTTAGGCAAATGAAAGGTTCTTGAGAGATTTTATTGTTCTATTGTTTCAATCAGTTTCCTATTGTTTTTTATTGTTTGAATCGGTTGTAACTTTGGAGCAATTTGATCCAGATTTTCATTTCCCATTATTTTTTATTTTTTATTTTTTTATAGGAAATCATAAGTGTATAACTATCTATTCAAAGTATTTTTTATTTTATGATTTTTGACAAATAAGTTACCGCCCTCCATAAAAAATATTTTAAGGTCATACCCCTTTTATTAATTTGACTTCTTCCACCGCCCTTTAGCCAAATTTTCCCTTTATTTTTTTTGTTTTGTGTTTGGAATATCTTGTACATGGTATTGAATTATCTGTATAAAAATAGGAATGGAAAGGCATAAAAAATTACCAGAAATGCTCTCATCTTGTCTCGTTTGTTTTTTATGGATGACATATTTTTGTTTGCAGAAGCCTCTTTATAACAGGTGGAGGTGATCACTAATGTTCTTAACTCTTTTAGCAAAGTATCAGGGGAGAGAATCGATGCTGAGAAAACCAATTTTTTTCTCAAAAAACACTTCTCACTAGACGCAAGCTCTGATAAGTTAAGCGTTTGGTTATAGAAAAACCAACAACTTGGGAAAACATTTGGGGCTCTAATAGTGCACGGAAGAGTCACCAAGGACACCTACCAAGAGATATTAGATAAAGTGAGAGCGAAACTTTCTGGGCGGAAAGCCAATTAGCTATTACTAGCTGGTCGTGTTATACTACCGCAGTCTGTTTTACTGTCTATTCCTAAGTTTCAAATGCAATCGACTAAGTTGCCCATTCACATTTTTTATGAAATTAATAAAGCGGTTAGGGGTTTTGTATGAGGATTCACACGAGACAAAAAGAAACTACACTTGGTGAATTGGGACACTATGTGTGACAGGAAAGAAAAAGGTGGCTTGAGATGTGTAAGCCTGGGAAAACAACATGGCATTCCTTATGAAAGTAGCATGGGAGCTGATAGCAAAAGAGGGATGAGCTATGGGTGTAGATCCTGAGAGCTAAGTACTATAAAAATGAAGAGAATAGGATTACCTTTTTAAAAAGAGAAAACAACACTCATCTCCAACATGGAAGGGGGTTTATGACGTCCTTCACTTGATGGAAAAAGGATTAACTAAGGCAGTGGGGGATGATAAATCGGTTAGGATCTTTGTAGATAGATGGTTGGAGGGCTATGATTTGCTATCTAATCACCTTATTACACCAATATCGGAGACAGAGAAGTACAAAACTATTTCTGATTTTGTGTTGAAGGATAGAAGCTGGGATATCCAAGAGCTAAAGAGGATGTTAGGTTGTGGAGAAAATCTCAAGCTGACCACCACTAATAGATGCTTTGGGTCCAAACCAACCACGATGAATGTTTAATGAGACTGGTAAGTTTTCTATCAAATGAATCAGCTTATTTATTAGCCATTGGTAACCATGTTTTGCAGGATGACCCTTGCTGGAAAGCCGCGTGGAAATGGAGAGGGCCCCAGCAGATAAAGACTTTCCTCTGCCTCGCTATCCAAGGAAGGCTTGCTACAAATGAATTGTGTCGGAACAGGGAGCAAAACTAAATGAGGTTTTCATCATCTGCAATTCAGCAACTGAGTCAACGATACACGCCATCATAGACTGCCCGTAAGTGACAGCCATCTGGGAACAATTAGTCCCAAATTCTAGACGTCAATCCTTTTTCCAACAGCCACTGAGGGACTGGGTAAATTTAAATTTGACAGGTAGCAATGGCAAATAGATCAATAGATTTGGTGTTGTCTGCTGGTTTTTGTGCAATAAGCAAAACAACAGGATCTTCAACGATGAGATCATGGGAGGAAATAACACAGTTAAACCTATTTTGCATAGATTTGAGGAATTTTTTTGCAGCCAAATTACTTTGAGATGGCAACAAATTAGACGACGTAATGAAGGAATTTATCGATGCAAAAAACCACCGGTGGAGAATGTCTTGAAAATCAATTGTGATGCAGCAATTAACAATGATAGAAATCGAGCTGCAGTGGGTGGTGTACGGAATCATAACGGTGAATTTGTGACTGCATTTTGTGAGAATATCAGCACTTCTTCAGTGGAAACTACAGAGATCGGTGCAATTTGACGAAGTTTGGAAACTGCAGTATATTATGGGTTCAACAGGTTGATCGTTGAATCTGATTCTCTAATAGCCTTGAATTTAATATAAAATCTAGGCCAGAGACCAAATCTAGACCCTGACTTAAGGAGCATCCAGCTTCTTTTGCTGAGAAATATGTCAGTTAAATTTTCCCATACATTTAGGGAAAATAATATATATATCGACACTTTTGCGAAGAATGCGTTAGATAGACAACCTCTTCCTTTTTAGAGTTACTAATCGAGCATGAAAGTTCATTCCCTATTTTATGTAATAGCTAGAGTGGAACAGGATTATGGTGGTTTATTTTGTAAAAAAAAAAAATTATAAATCAAATGGTAAATAATTTTAAAAAAGTAAATGAAAATATTATATGAATAGTATTAATATTGACCGTTGTATTATTTGTGTTTGGGTGATAAAACAAAATACTTTTTTTTCCCCCTTCAAGATGCTGGCAATTCCCGAACCCGTTCAATATACCGACACCCATGTCCAAGATATTAAAAAATGTTTTAATATCATTTCCGTAAATTTAATTTCACGATCCGACGGTTCTGTTCCCTATAACCCTTCCAAATCTAAATCACGACCATTCGCTCGAATCCTGACCCCACACCTTCCTCTACCATCTTATCACCTACACATCTGCATCGTCACAGTTCACACACACTCCCCAAGATCTGAACTCAACACATTACTACTTTTTACTACAAACACCCAAGCACAGAGCTCTTCTTTTTTCTTCAGTCCATCACCCCCTGTTTTTGCGGCAAAGAATCAGAACTCAGAAGAGCTTTTAAACAAATTACAAAAAAGTTCGAATCTTTGGTGATGGTGGAGGCACAGTCATGGACGACAAGAAGGGGCAGCAACCCAAGGTTGGAATCTACCGACCAAGTACTAGACATCCCAATTACTCCAACTGCTGAAATCAAACATCAGCAAGGATCATCCTTGATCTCTCCAACTGTAGTCACTGCGCTTATTATAGCCTCATGGTACTTCTCCAACATTGGTGTTCTTTTGCTTAACAAATACCTTCTCAGTTTCTATGGTTACCGTTACCCAATTTTCCTAACCATGTTACACATGGTTTCCTGTGGGATTTATAGTTTAATTGCCATAAAATGGTTGGAAATCGTCCCTTTTCAGCAAATTCACAGTCGGAGACAGTTCTTCAAGATCCTAGCTTTATCTGCTATTTTTTGCTTCTCTGTGGTGTGTGGTAATACTTCTTTGAGGTACTTGCCAGTGTCGTTCAATCAAGCAATTGGTGCCACAACCCCTTTCTTTACAGCCATTTTTGCTTTTGTTATCACTTGTAAGAAGGAAACTGCAGAGGTTTATTTAGCACTGGTCCCTGTGGTCCTTGGGATTGTTTTGGCAAGTAATAGCGAGCCATTGTTTCATCTTTTTGGGTTTTTTATGGCACTAGGATCCACTGCTGGGAGAGCCTTAAAATCTGTGGTTCAAGGCCTGTTGTTGACTTCTGAAGGAGAGAAATTGCATTCCATGAATCTGTTGTTGTACATGGCTCCAATGGCTGCAATGATTCTGCTGCCCTTTACACTGTATATTGAAGGGAATGTGACTGCTGTTACAATTGAGAAGGTTAGAGTTGATGGATTCATGGCATTCTTGTTGATTGGGAATGCTACAGTTGCTTATTTGGTGAATTTGACCAACTTCTTGGTTACAAAGCATACCAGTGCTTTAACATTGCAAGTTTTGGGAAATGCCAAGGCAGCAGTTGCGGCTATTGTGTCAGTTCTGATCTTTAGGAATCCGGTCACTGTGATGGGGATGACTGGTTTTGCAGTGACAGTGATGGGGGTGGTGCTTTACAGTGAAGCTAAGAAGAGGTCTAAAGTTACAGCTCATTGATTGCAATCATGGTATCTCTGCTTGAGGCAGAACAATACAGGGTGGTGAGGCTCCTTTTTCATTGCTCTTTGCTTTTGGTTGATTTTTGGTTCTCAATTGGTTCATTAATTGTGGGATCAATAGGAAAGATGTTTCACTCATTCATTGTATAGGAAGATGGGGTGGGGGAAAAAAGGGGGATTAGAAATATCCTTCTTCTTTCTCTTTTTTCTCTTTTCTGCTTTACACAATTTGTTTCTTCCTTCATAGGGGTGGTTTTTGGAGAATAAAAAAATTCTCCTTTTTCCATCCCCTTCTTGTAACTTTATATAAATTTCTTATGAAATTTTACCACACAAAGAAAGAAAGACTAATTCTTTAACATCGGTTGAATTCATGGGGGAAAAATATTATCCCCATTTGTTTCAATTGTTAAATTTGTAGTACTCTGTTCCTCGTTCTGCTGTCACTCCAGTCTTTACTTGTTTCTTAGTGTTGTGACTTGTGATTTGAAGGGATTGAATAGATCATGTTTAAGTGATTTTCAACACAATCAGCTTGTCGAATTATCGATATCAATGTTCATTAAGCAAGAGAAGAGAATGTTTGGTGAAGGCATTATTGGTGGGAATTAGAGTAGGCTTGATGATACTATTTAGATGGGAGGTTGCGATCATGAATGTTGCCAAAAAGGGATTCTTTACCGATTTGTAACTTGGCCACTTGATCAAGAAAATGTATATCTACTATATTTATCATACCAGGTGCAATGATGTTGGTTTAATTAGTTTAAGCTAGTGTTTCTTCCACGCCACGTACGCTACTAGTTCTTCAATTTACTAAGAGAAATGCTGCTCACGCAACCGTGGGTTTTGTTTAATGTAAATTATGTAATGTTTGGTCAAATTTGTCACACCAAACAAAACTGTTCTGATTAATTTGAGGAAAGAGACGTATGTAACTGTATAAAAGTGTAGATTTTTTTTTTTAATCTGTCCAAAATCTTGGTTAGTAGTCTACTTGTCATTCTTGTTAATACTCCAAATGCGATCTGGGAAGTCGCCAACCTGTCAATTAATCTTGCTGATCAAGGCTTCTGGTTAATGGGAAAACCGGATCTGATCAACAGCCCTCTGAACTTTATTTTTTTCTTTATAACACAGCTGGATAAGGGATCTCACTGTTCTTGTCTGCCATTTCAAATGTTGACAAATGTGTGTGTGTGTGTGTGTGTGTGTTTTGGTTTCTGGCAATTAACATGTTACATTCAGCATTCAGGTGCAGTAAATTGTAATGTTTCTATTTTGTTTGATTGAGAGATGGAAATGCATTTCTTTTGGTGTCAAGGAAGTGGAATTCTCTTTCTGAATCCGATCCAGATTTCCTGCATATGAGCTACTTACTAGTAGTACCAATTGCTGGGCTCTGTATTCTTTCTATTTGTAGGGACCAGATCCACATGGGGAGGGAATACCTTACTATTAATGGGGGGTTTATTAGTTTAAGGCACTATTAAAACTGGTGGTTGAAACTTCATTTTCAGCATGTGATTGGCCCCAAAAGTGCATCCACATCAACGTAGTATGAACAAACTTTTCAGCACTTTCATGCATTCATATTGCAGTTTGATCCCAAAAAAATGGGCAAAAGAATAAATTGCGTCCAGGGAAATTAAATTCTATTCCCATTCATCCCAGAATAGTGTTCAGGAAACAAAAACTCTGATTTCGGAATAGAGTACTCTGCAGCCTTGATTGATATTTATGTGAAAGCTACAAGAAAGAAAGAAAGGAAGCTTCATCGGAGGGCAACATATTTTCTGCAGAATTATCTCTTGAGGTTCATTAATCGGTTGTTACATTGTTATCTAATACTCCCTCTGTCCTATAATTATTGTCCACTTTGGATTTTCATTTCTAATTCAATTGTACTAAAAATGAAATCTCAAACTGAACAATAATTTTAGGACAGAGGGAGTATATAGGCACATAGCACGGAGCAATTCTGGAAATAGTGGTATAAATTGTGTAGCACAAAGTACTGTAATCGCATTTAAATTTTGATGGGTATACCTTAAAAAGATTACATTACAACAATACGAATATTTATTTGTTCTCTGAAAACAACTGAAAAAAGATAAATCAAATGTTACACACCAAAATCGAACCCATATATAGATTGACTGCTTCATTAATGATTCATCAATGGCCCAACCTTGGGACAAATTTTCCAAAGGTTCCAAATAAACCACGGCCAGCATTTCTTGTCGGGATCCATTGAACAGGGCTAGGAGCCGGTGCAGATGCAGGGGACTCCGCTGATCCCTCCGGCAGAACATCAATAACAAGCTTCATTCCACCAACCGCGCAGTGAACGCCGACGCTGCAAATGTACCACTTTTTTCCGGACGCCGCAAGTCTGATCACGTCGTATCCACTGGTAAGTGGTGCAGCATCAGTCGGTGCAGTGCACGTCTGGAATCCCGTCCCGTTCACCTTTGCTACGTTGTGAACTCCAACGGGGTACCGGAAAACTGTTCGCATGGCATTAATTACTTATGGTTAGAATTGAATTTTATTTCCATAATATCCCTTTATCTATCTCCTCAAAATAACATAAGAGTCGTATATATTGAAGAAGATATTTTTGTTTTCTAAAGATTTTGATTATGAATATTAATATAGTATGATCATACGTATAGCTATTTTTGGTTTGTTTTTCATTGTGTTTTTTTAGAAATAAATATTAATAATTGTCGGATCTCAATATACCTCTTTTTTTTTACATTTTTAATACATTTTTTTTACATTCCTAATAGAAAAATATTTAAAAATACACACTAAAAAAACGATCCAAACATAAAGAGAGATTATCCAAGATACAAATATAAATATCGAACTCGCATTTAGTAAAGTTTTGGACCTAACCACGTAAGGAGATTAAGGGGAGATTTAAGTTTGGACATTAACGTCATCAAGAACTAATGAAAGAGAAAAGAATTTTTTATCTCACCTAAATCATCGCCAACATGGAATTCTTGTCCCGAGGCCCAAGTTTGGTAATCAAAATTCAATGTCCAACCTCTGGCACCTCCAACGTAATGTACCTTAGCCATACTTGGAGCAACAAGTGTAGCAAAAAAAGCTACTACAATGAACAAAGCTTTTGAGGCCATTGTCTCGGACACTGTACTTTAGTGTTGAGTGCCTTCTCTAGTTCTGTGGCTTTGGCTATTTAGATGTTCTTTACTTAATTTAATTTTGCAAATATTTATAGGTGTGGATCGTAATGAAATTCAATCGGTCGGCCGGCCGGCCAATGATGTTAAACGGAATGATACATATGGAGCAAATACGTATGTGTTCAATTTTAACATATTTGTATATGAATATTATTCTGGGAAGAATCGTAAACCGTTGTTGGCTTCTGAATGTCTAAAATGTACTCCTTCCAGTGCTTAATATAAGGTATTTTGAATTGTCCTAGGTTTTACTTAGTTCACATTTTTTATTAATAAAAAAACCTTAAAAATATTTCATAACAATCAAGAGAATACAACGGATGTAAAAATATATTTTTAAGGTTTTTTGGTCAATTAAAAATACGTATTATATAAAACCTAAGACAAATCAAAATGTCTTATAATAAGTACAGGAGGGAGTACGTAGCTTCGGTGGAAGCACAAATGGAAAGATGTGGAGTGAATTACGAAAGTGCTACGTAACTGGACTTGTTCAAAGCTAGATTGGTTTTTGTCCCTCGTCAATCAATCTTCATGGAAAATATTAAATTTTGTCTGAGAAAATTTCAGTTATCCTTCCGATCTATTCCTTTCAAAATTTGATGCTAAAAAGAACAGAAATATGAAGAAAAAATCAACAACAAACCATTATCCTTTAACCTGTTCACGATATAAATTGCATTGTGGTTGGTGATTGGATGAGATTGATGTTAAAGTTACACGAGCAAATTGAAAAGGATTAGAAAATGAGATCTCCCAATCGCATTATAGACAATTATATTCCTTTTGTTTCAAAATCATTATCCAATTTAGATTTTCAATTTGTATTAAAACTTAACATCTAAACTGGACAATGATTTCGGGACACAAAGATTACTGCACAAAAATTCAATATATGGTCAGGATGGAAAAGAAGTAATGTGATACTCTATAATGCATATCTTTTGCAACGCCGGTTTGGTGGGCGATTGAATCCTTCGCGCGCATGTCTTTTTCCGAACAAAAACCTCAATGCAAAAATCTCTCCGGTCTTTATTATAAAAGATTTTAAATTTTTTTATATTTCAGTTGCCATATTTTTTAATTAAAAATAAAATTTTAAAAATATTTTATAACAATTATAAAAATATATTGTAAAAATGTATTTTGAGAGTTTTATTCCCAATTAAAAGAATATAAATGAAATTTAGAAAAAGTTAAAATACTTTATGATAAAGATCGGAGAGAGTATCTCAGGCGTATACGAGGACTAGTGTTCGAGGTAATAGATTCAGAGATTTATTTGTAGAAGAAGGTTTATACAAGCGCAGAATTGTGAACCTTCGAAGAAATGGTACTCCTTTTAATCGTAATCATAAATCACAGATATTTTTAAACTAAATATAGTACTATTTTCGTCCCAAAAAAATAGTCTACATCGAGTTTTTTAAATTTGTACTAAAAACAGTACAAAACTCAAAACTCAATGTGGACTATTTTTGTGGGACGAAGGGTGTATTAGTTTATATCTTATAATTAAAACGAATACATAACTGACTAGCACATTTTTTTATCAGTGCAACTCCGCATAAGCGCCTTAAGGTAATCTATTTCTCTTAGTTTTTCGAAGAAACGTATTATTAATACGTAAATGTATTTCCCAAGGTTAATAACACATCAACTTTTTTCAACATTATCCTCACCTTCTTTTCTTTTCACATGCGATATCAATGACCGAAATGTCTCTTATATGTGCTCTTTCCAATCGCAACTCATTTAATTAGGGGAAAGACACCAAGGCATTGACATGAAAACGCAAAAAAAAAAATAATAATAAATAAATAAAAAGGAATATACCACTATATTTGGGTTCCTCAATCTTTTAAATTGAGAAATTAAGTTAAGAAATTGAATAAATATAATGTTTATTTACATTAAAATATTTTAGATGATATAAATTTGATATAAATTTCGTAAGTTCAATTTTAACATTTTAATTTTCATAATTAGACCATTTTTCCAAGGCAGGGGTGGTAGATTATTAGTCTTTCTCTGGTAAATAAAATTTCCAAATAAATCGATGCAATTATTATGTTGTATTTAGTCCATTATTCTAAAAGGTTGTAAAACAAGTTCTTTAACTGATAAAACTTGAGTTTTCCACGTTTTAACTGATAAAAATGATGGATGAAAAATATGCAATAGCTGTCATCCAAACTGTTTTTATAAACAACATTAAAAAAGGGACAAATCTGTCACAAAAATGCAGTAGAAATTGGAAAAGTATTGAATTACACATGTGAAATGTATGTAGTCTAACAAATTAATGGAGAGCACTGAGGGCGTACACTCTCCGGATTTATTCCAAAACGTAACATACTAAGTCCAAAATTAAACCATCAAAATCTATAAAATGTTATTCAAAAAATTCCAAATCAAGCAGGCTTTAAATCATGATCCAAACGATCATGGAAACTAGAGCAGCAATCATCAGTGACGGAGCAGTGATTCCGTAGGCGGATCCGGGTTGTGGAGCGGGAGTCGGCGAATAACCTTCCGGCCAAACATTAATGACAAGCTTCATCGGACCCTGGTTGCAGTGGTTGGCGACGCCACAAATGTACCATTTCTTTCCGGGAGCCGCCAGTGTGATCATGTCGCTTCCGCTGGTGAGAGGCTCAGCTCCTAATGGTTTGGTGCACTGTTTAAAATCCGTCCCGTTTACCTTTAACACGTTGTGCTTTCCCGGTGGGTAGTTGAACACTGTCACAAATACAGAATATTTTCGTACCAAATTAGAATATGATAATTTACGATTTAATTTTAACTTTGTTACGAGTTGTTACATGCATCGTGCATAAATGACGTTGTTATATATAACAAATGCCCATATTAGATATTAGATAATGGTATCGAAAGAAATGAATATTAATTTTTTTTAGACAAGTTTTTTATTATCTATATATTCTTTATGTTCCAAAATTATTGTCCAATTTGGACTAAAAGATCACTAAAGTGACTCTTTTTGTAGGATGGATAGTGGAGACGTACTTAGCATGTCGCCAACGTGGAATTCTTTGCCTTCAGCCCACTTGGCATAGTCAACGCCCAACGTCCAACCTTTATCATCCCCAACCACAAACTGAGTAGCCATTGTTGGAGCAAAAATTGTGGCAAAAACAGCCACTGCGATGAAGAAAGCTTTTGATGCCATTGCAAACACGCTTTGAAGTTCTTTGTTCAAAAGCTCTCTAATTTCTTTCTGTTTGCTAGTAATTAGTTGCTTTTGATGGCTGAGTCTCTAGGTTTGTACTACTATTTATATATCATTTGGATCATGAACAATATTTGACAAATCATATAACAGCCGGCTAATGGCGGCAATATCATGGATGGTTCAAGCTTAACTTAAAACAAGAGACCTCGTGAAAGCTGTTTATTAATCTCCAAGTTTTGGCTTATGAAAAATGTGACTTAGTCAAGTTTCTACCGCGGCGGAAATTATTCTAGTATTATGTTATTTTTTTTGAGGTGGATTTAGTGCAATACACTATGTCTTTGTTACATTTGTGCTCACAAAAATCAAAGTTTATAATTATAGAACTTAGTGGGTACCAACAAGCATATTTGGTTTGTAAAAAGTATTATATCCCTTTAATTATGATCCGACTTTAAATCATGATATCCATGGTATGCTGAAATGATCAATATACATATTGGGTATATAATTTTGTTTTTTGAGAAGAAAATATCCAATTTGATTGTAGATTAATGTAGCATTCGTTTCAGATATATAACGGGCATACTGTGTGTTAAAAAAAGAAAGAAACAAACAAACTTATTTGTTATGTTGGCCGAGTTTATATGGCTTTACTTCTTCCGAAGGATGCGCTTTTACCTTTTAGGGGCATAAGGAATATAAGGATCATTACCATTGAACATTCTCTTCGTTGTTTTCGGTGAATTGCAACAATGGATACAAAAATTTGGCTGGCTTTCATCCTCTTTTTTTTTTCCCCTTCGAACGGCCAGATTCCTGCCGTAGGAAATTTGTGTGATATTTTGTAACCTCCAATGGAGCTGCTGTTTCCACAACGTGAAAAAGATGGAACGGAGAAAAAACGAAAATTTTGGGGGGTTTTTAGGAGAATCTTAGCTCTCATTGCTGGAAACGATCTTTCCTATACAAGATAAATAAGAATAAAAACCTATATATGTACCTAATTTAATTACTCTTAACTTATTTGAAGAAAAAATAAGTACATAGGAAGCATCTTTATATTTATTTGACACCTTCTGTCAAAAAGCATACACTAAAAAGGACTAGAGCCAAGAAATAAGAATTGTCCTAAGTTCCTTAATTAATAATATTATTAAAGAAAGCCATCAACCCCATAATGTCATATAATAATTTCAGTACGTTATTTTTCTCGTTTAACATTTCAGCTGCTTAATCAAGTAACTGTGGCTTTCAAAAAATAAAAAATGAAAAATAAAAAAAATAAAAAGTAACTTATGTATTGATAAGAAATTAGGGGCCGGAAGACAATTGATTGACTTCACAGTACGTTTTTACTTTTTTTTTTTTTTCTTTTGCATGATATCCTTTTTAACTTCTAATTAATGAAAGAGTCCTTCCAATACAATATTATCGATATTTTTCACCAATGTAACATTACAATTTGAATCACTGGTTGTTTAGCGCGCCCCTCCTATATTGTCCAGAAAAATAAAAATAAAAAAAAAAAACTTCCAACCTTTAATTTCTTGTTTTTACAAACATATTTATATACATTTCCTTCTTTCAATTCGGTCAGTTGGATTGGTGACTCTTCTTTCGGTTATATTTATATCATCAAAATACGGAACACGAAGTTTATTGTACACACGACCAACTATGGATTATGAGACTACTTATAGAGTAATAACATTTTAGATAATTTTATTAGAGTGAACTGTAAAGGAACTCGCCATGTATACTTTCACTTTAAACAGATAACCTTATTTGAACTTCACCTTGTTACTATGAAATTCAAAATTAGATGATTGCCAATCTCTAAGTCGCCATTTCGATAAGCTTGTTCATTATTTGATAAAATTGGTCTTCTGTGTTACGAATAATTGATGATCGAGGGGCAAATGAAACTAGTTTCTTCTATAAATAGGCATTATACAATGATCAACAAGTCTAATCTTCTTGTAGACGGTACAATTAAATTGGGAGACATTATACGTTAGGGTAATTAAATATGTTTAAAAGAACCCATGATATCATTTGGACTCGTGTCTCTTTTCTCAAATAGTTGCATATATAAATTTAGAAATTAGAAAGAGAGAGTGAAAAAGAATGAGTTTATGTTTGACCTGCAATCTAAAGAATAGTATAATGATTATATTCCAAATTTAAGCCATAAAAACTGAAATTTAATTTCAAATCAACATCAATTAATTAGGTCACGATCAAGACGACCAAGGAAACGAGTGCAGCCATCATCAATGAGGGAGCAGTTATTCCGTAGGCGGCTCCGGGTTGCGGAGCGGGACTTGGGGAATATACTTCCGGCAACACGTTAATGGCTAGTTTCATCGGCCCAGATTCGCAGTGGCTGCCGACACTGCAAATGTACCATTTCTTTCCGGGAGTCTTGAGTTGGATCAAGTCGTTTCCGCTTATCAGAGGCAGACTTGTCAGTGGCGCTGAGCACTGTTGGAATTCCGTTCCATTTACTTTTACCACATTGTGTTTTCCCAGTGTATAGTTGAATACTGTCAAAAACACCGAATATTAATGTCCGAAAATACGAAATTTAAGCCTATAAATCAGGTTAATGATTGATCATATCATACCTACGAGAATCCGCATTAGTTGATTAATTACGCATTAGGATTAAAATTACTCTCCTTCCGTCCTAAAATTATTGTAAAAATACAATTTAAATTTTTATCTTTATATAATTTGGACTGAAAATGAAAATCCAAATTGGACATTCATTTCAGGAAGAATGGAGTATTTACTAGGATACTGCACTTTTGTAAGTGGTGACTTTTAAGATGGATACTGGAGGCATAACCGTTGTTGATCTCATATACTTAAGTTTTCTTCATGGACTCAAATCAATGTATTAAATTAGGGATATTGAAAATAAAGATTTTTAGAATTACAAACATTGATTAATTTTAATATTTGTGGTGCGATTTTATAGAGTTGATAGGAACATACCCAATTTATCGCCAACGTGAAACTCTTTCCCTTCAGCCCACTTCTGATAATCAAAGTTGAGAGTCCATCCTTTATCATCTCCAACCACAAAGTCCGCAGCCATTGTTGGAGCAAAGATTGTGGCAACCATAGCCAATGCAATTAAGACAGATTTTGATGCCATTGTAATTTTTAACCAAGCTAATAATTTGGCGTATTAGCTAGTCAAAAGCTCTATTTTCTTTCAAGTAATTTGCTAACTAGTTGTTATTGATGTTTAGGGTTCTTGGTTTCGTAGCATTTATACATTGGTTTTGAACAATATAACTAGCCGGCTCATGGCGGCAATATGAATTAAACAAGTTGCCGATTTAACGTTAACAACTTGACTTGGTAAAAGGTACATATGTTCGGCTTTGGCTCATAAGAGCCTGCATTTTGTTCATTTTCCTTGTTTTTGGCTGTATTGAGGAAAATTTACTTGAGGGTCATGAATGAATGTACGCAAACATCATGTCTTGGTTACATTTGTACTCCTTTAGATGAAAGTATCGTCATAAACTCCAACCTTGGTCCAAAAGAAGAAGTATCTTCTTCGACCAAAAAAAAAAGAAAAGAAAAGAAAAGAAAAACTATCTTCATAAACTATTAGTTTGATTGATCGGCTTCATTTTAATCTCTCTTTTTTTTTTTCAATTTACATAAACCACGAAATAATCTTTTTAACACTTGAATTTTTGTTTAATGTGGCAAATGGCTCTCCAGAAATAAAACTCTGACAAAGACGTATTTTAATAAATTACTCTATCTGTCCTAAAATTATTGTCCAGTTAGAGATTTCACTTTTAGTACAATTTAAACTAGAGGTGAAAACCCAAACTAGACAATAATTATAGGACGGAAGGAGTATTATTTATATAACATGTAATACGTGTGGCTAGCCTAGTTGGTACATATGTGTGGGTTTATAACTTTGGCCACAACGTGAACATGGACATTTTTTTTGGTTTGCTTGAAGCTATACGGTGTAATTTGTCTGGGCACTGTGATATATATGTTAGGCCGAATGAAGAAAGATTCTTTTTTCCAAATCCTTAGAATTAACTAATGGACAAAAGAAAATGAATTTGTCGTTTTGGAACCTCTAATTGCAGCTTTACGTTCCTTAATTATTCCACAACGTGAAAAAAAAAAGTTGAAAATTAAGAAGAAAAGGGCAACAACAAAAATGATAAGAAGAATGAACTCCATTGAATAAAGCTATTGATAAGAATGAATTCATGAATTGTATCCATATCCTCTCACAACAATAAATAAACTAAAGTAAAAGGAAGGCAAAAACATAGTTTTAAATTAAGGTAGAAAATGAGTTTTTGCTTCCGGAAAAGACTTAATTATCAATTAGATGATCGAAACCATCAGGCCATCACTTCAAAGTTTTCAAACATCGAATGAATAATACAACAACAATTTCTTCAGGTGGTTTGTTTGTTCGTGTTTTTTCTTATTTCCTTTTTGCTGACAACTGTGAATCACATTGTTGTCATTAGACACATTATAATATGTGCTTACTTACAACATTCTAGTAATTGTTGTAGATTAAAAGGGAAAAAAAAAAACATATGTAAGTATCATATATTTTATGCTTCTCAAATAATTTTTTTTATTTTATTTTTGGGGACAAGAATTCAACAGAATTTTCCTTGACATATCCAAGTTTGGATCACATATTATTTTTTTAAAATTTTTTTTTTTTTGAAAAAGAGAACTTCCGTTAAACTTGCTGGAATTCAGCCAGCTCTGTTTGATACAAGAATCTCGGTAATGAAGACCAAGTTTTAACTGAGGATAAAAAGGACTTAGAATGGGTTGCTATAGCATGTGCAATCCCATTTTGTGATCGAGGAATCCAATACAAATTTACAAAGGAAAGGTCTAAAAGTAGAGTCCTAATATCGTGAAGGATTGGAACACTTTGATAGGCACAATCCCCTTCTCCTACAGCAGTCAAAATTGCAGTAGAAGAATCTCCGAGGACTGTGATATTGCTAAGATTGAGTTCCCTCAGCAAAGGGAGAGCTTCTTTTAATGCTAGAAATTCCGTCAATTCTGCTGAGTTAATATCAGTGATACACACCCCTCTTGCACTTATAAATTCTCCTGAAACATCCTTCACATATATTCCTAATCCCACACAGTTTCAAGTTGATGACACTGCTCCATCAAAATAGACACAAGTTTGTAAATTTTGCGGGCAAATCAGATGGCACGATCGAAGGGATGAAGAAACAGCCAGGGAAAAGCCATTAGCTAAGTGAAATTCTCGCAGTAAATTAGCTGCCTATGTAGCTAATAGAGGAGCCGAAATCTGCTTGTCTTCAAAGAGCCTGCTGTTTCTTGAGTACCATATTGAGTTGCAAATAGAACCAAATAATTCTGCCGCATCTCGATAACAATTCAGTATCACTTTCTTGACCCAATCTTCCCATCTATTTTGACGCAAATGTAAAATATAGTCGCGGATTCCAGACGCGAACCAAACCTGTGAAGCATAATTGCACCAAAAAAATAAATGAGAAGTTGAACATGAGACAGCATGACATAAGGGGCATGATGGGTCAGGAAAGCATCCTCTTTTTCCTAGATTCTCAAGAGTGAGAAGTGAACTTGTCGAACATCTCCACAAAAAGTGAAGAACACGACTCGGCAGTTTGAGTTTCCACAGCTTCTTCCAGAGCCGTTTGTCCTCCACAGACAGGGCTGCATTAGGATGATGATCATCAGGGGGAGTAGACGAATCCAGCAACACATTATATGATGTTTTCACAGAGAACCTTCTATTGCTGGAGTGATGCCATATCCACCTGTCCATCGAAGAAGAGTTACCTGGAATGATAGATAAAATACAATCTGCCTCCTGAGTAGTGAATATTGACCGAACTAAGTCATGTTTCCAGGATCCTGATGCGTCAATTAAGCACGAAACTGGAGAATTCGAGGGCAGGATCGAAGGAGGGCTGTGTGATTGGAAAGCTGGCGAACACGGCAGCCAACGATCCATCCAGATTGAGGTTTGATGCCCCCAAAAAATCTGTTTCCGACAACCTAAAAGGAGAACATCTTTTCCTTTAAGAATGCTTTTCCATGTAAAAGATGGTCTCGTTCCTAGCAAGGCCTCCAAAAAAGAAGAGTTTGGATAGTATTTTGCTTTCAGGATGCGTGCAAGCAAGAAACCTGGGTTAGTGAGGATTTTCCAAGCTTGTTTACTAAGTAAAGTCAGATTGAATTTTTTTAGGTCCCGTAATCCTAGCCCTCCTTTACCTTTAGGTTGCGATATTTTTTTCCAGCTCAGCGATCTGATTTTCCTGTGATCACTTTCATCTCCCCACCAGTATGAAGCAACCATGGTATTCAGCTCCTGAATTGTGGTATCTGGCAACTGAAAACATGACATTGTGTAGGTCGGTATAGCTTGTACAACACTTTTTACTAACACTTCTTTCTCCCCTTTTGAAAGACACTTCTCTTTCCTGCCTTCCAGCTTCTTCCATACTATCTTTTATCGAATTAAACAGCTCACGTTTGTTCTGGCCTGATACAGTAGTTAGACCAAGGTATTTTTCGTGCCCTTCAACTTGAGGAATTTCTAGGATGGATGAAATCCGAGATGCCAATGTCTAATCTGTGTTTGGACTGAAGACGGTACCAGATTTTTCATAATTGATGCGTTGGCCAGAGACTCTTTCATACATTTGAATAGCAAACTTAAAATGACGAGCCTCCTCCTCCGAAGCCTGACCAAACAAAAGTGTATCGTCTGCAAAAAACAAATGAGAAACCGCTGATGCCCCACGTCCAACAGAAATTCCATGAATATGACCACATGCCTGCAAATCCTTGAGAATACATGAAAAAAGTTCGGAACAAATTTGGAAGAAATAGGGAAATAGTGGGTCTCCCTGTCTTATACCTCTCTGTGGCTTTAATTGACCGAATCTCTTTCCATTTAGAAGGAAAGAAAAAGATACCGTGGACAAGCAATGAAGCAGCAATTCAACAAAGTTGGAATCTAGACCTAAAACCCTCATAATGTCACCAAGAAAACACCATTCTACTGTATCAAAAGCCTTACTCATGTCAAGTTTTATGGACATTAGACCTAAGTTCTCCGACATTCTTGATCGCATATAATGATGCGTTTCGTAAGCAACCAATATATTATCAGTAATTAATCTACCAGGGACAAATGCCGATTGAGAATCACTAATGATTGAAGGCAATATGTTTCGAATTCTATTGGCTAGCACTTTAGAAGCTAACTTGTAGATGACATTACATAAGCTTATTGGCCTAAATTGAGAAATAAAATCAGGTTTTTTGACCTTTGGAATGAGTACTATGTAGGTGAAATTGATGGAGGAATTCAAAGGTTTATTATTTAGAAAATGTAAAACATATCTGATTATATCAGAACCTATTATATGCCAATACTTTTGAAAGAAAATATGAGACATACCATCTGGTCCAGGAGATTTAAAAGGGTTCATTTGTTTAAGCGCACGGATAATTTCAGAATCAGTGAATGGCAACATAAGACGAGTATTCATCTCTGTTGTTACTCGAGGAAGAATTCTGTGAAGAGCTTGCCTGATTTCGCCCATGGAAGGATTGGAAGATGAGAACAATTCCCCGAAGAAACCAGCAATAATTCCTTCCACTTCATCCTTGTCAAAGCAATCTTGACCTTCTTCATTTTTGAGGAAAGAAATATGGGTCGTTTCCTTTCACTTATTAGCGCGAGAATGGAAGAACTTTGTGTTTCGATCCCCTTCACGATACCAATGTTGCTTCCCTCGTTGTTTCCACTTTAATCCATCTTTCTCCAACAATAGCTCCAGTTCTGCCCGCAGCTAACAAATTTTATCCTCTATGCCTTCATTTAGGAAACCTTGTTCCAGTGAATGAATCTCTCTCTTTAGCACTTCAATCTTTTTACCAATCTCTCTCACTTGTTTTCCACCCCATTGCATAAGTCCAACAGCACAATTATTCAGTTTATCCAGTAAATCTTCTGAGGGACAATTCTAAGCATCCCGAATAACTCTTTCATAATCTTCTGACTTAATCCACATTGCCTCAAATCGAAAAGGTTTTGGCCCCCTCCTTTGGAAATGATTATGAGGCGAATGGAATTTTAAATGAATCAATAAGTGATAAGAGAAAATGGTAGGACAATGTTGTGCTCTTCCTGATGAAAAGAGGGATCGCCAATGAGAATTACAAACTGCTCGATCAAGGAGAGACCGCTAAGTGTGAGGAGAAGTCCGAAGTATGCTCCAAGTGAACTTTGGACCATAGTACCCAAGGTCTGACAAGCCACAAAACTGTAGAAAATCACGGAACATGTTCAGCTGCTGGTTAGTACGATGACCTTTTCCTTGTGCTTCATGATGAAACAGAACTTCATTAAAATCACCCATGCATAACCAAGGTAGATTAGAATCCATATTGAGATCTTTCAGTTGATTCCAGGTTGCTCGTCATTTAGCCAAATCCGGTTCCCCATACACACCCGTAAATCTGAAGTTGTGATCTTGAAGCTCAACCATAACATCAATGAATCTTTCACACATACTTTTTAACCCCACAATGACCGACTTCTTCCAAAGTAAGGCCAATCCTCCAGAACGGCCATGACTATCAAACCCTACACCATTCATATTTGTTATCCATTTGACTGAATTTATTGTAGAACTAAGACATTTACTCTCAATTAGGAAGACTAAATCAGGCGACTTAATGCGTAAGAAATTACGCAATTCCTGAATTGTTTGAGGGTTCCCAAGCCCTTGACAATTCCAGCTAATGATACTCATATTGATTGGCGGGATTGGCTAGTTGCGCCAATCACCGCCATCTCATGAAGGTTTACATCATCATCAGAACCAGTTTCTGTCCAAAATGAATCTGCTTCCATCACCGAGTTTTCAGAACATGACTTTTTCCCAACAGTCGTTGTTTTGCACGTGTGCAAGGGGAATCAACCATGTTAAGCTAAACAGTTTGCTTTCGGTTCCTTCGTGCATATTTAAGTTTCCTAGATGCTTTTTTTTGCTGGAGTATCAAGCTAGAGAGGGATTTGGACAAGGAAAGGACTAGCTGGAATGTGAGTATTTGGGGAGGGAGGGAGGGGAAGTGGGATGATTAGTTGGTTTGGTTGGTAATGAGTGAGGCTCAGGGTCAAAAGGATGAGATGGGACAATGTCTTTCATTGAGAAGTCAGGGGATGAGAGGGGCGGCATTTGATCAGGAGATGATACAGTATGTGGCGGGAGTAAAGAGTTAAGTGGGGGAGGAGGGGGGAAAGTGCGTGAATCAACATCTTCTGAGGATAAGACCGTCGTTCTGGCAGAGTAAGATACAGTATGAGATTTAGAGTTTGGAGATATTTCAGGGGGATGATTAATGATCGTGGTTGGGTGAGTGGAAGTTGATGGAAGTGAAGGCGGAAGATACGGGTTTAGAGTGGCTTGAGAAGGCTGGCAGTTACGATTTTGAGAGTCTAGTGGGGAGTTATTCAAAATGGGGCGTAATGGAGAGAGGCAGTTAGAGTTTGAAACTATTGGGTGGGAGAAACTGCTATGTGGCGGGGCTGGTGGTTGATGCTGAGGTTGGGGTGGTGGTGGCCGGAAATTATTACGACCAGAGAACCTTGGATTACCATAGGTAGACATGAACGGGCTGTATGGAGGGGAAGCATTTAACCAGGGTCCATATTCTGATGAACCAGAAGTGGTTGATGGGGAAAGCAATTTATCATCACAGCAATCTTCAAGATGCCCAATCTTTCCACAGAAATGACAAAAATCCGACAATCTTTCATAAAAGATCCTGCAAGGCCTGTCAATGTCCATATAGGTAAAATGAAGCAGCCTATGAAGAGGTTTACTAATATCAAGATTAACTTTGATTCGTAAAAGACGGCCAACAAGACCTCCATCCGAATCATTGTTAACTTCCAAGAAATTCTCCAGTCGATTTCCACATAATTCTGCAACAGACTTAGTCATGCAGTTGAAAGGCATATCATAAACATGAATCCAACATGGAGAATAAATGAATTTTAGATCATTGACGTTAACACCATTTGTGATCCTTTCCAAAACCAAAAGATCATTTTTGAATTTAGTTTTGTAGAGCCAAGGGGAGCCTGACTCAACTCTTCGCAAATCTGCCAGGGAATTGAATTGGAACATCACCACATTCTCAGCAAGAGGCTTACATGAGATTCCCGATCTAGTATACCACAGTCCTTTGAATTTCTTCTCGCTATCAGAGGTAGGGATACTTGATGTTATGATCACTTTAGCTGCCAAACAAAGTGTATCATTAGAATCTGCAAGATCATCAAGAGACTGCCTCTGGGATTCCTCATCATCAAGTGACAAGCCAGAATAAAACTTATTAATCGTTTCGTCCATTCTACCAAAGGTTGAAAGCAGGCAAGAAAATACAGAAAAACGTCCGAGAAATTGGAGAAATGAGTCCCATAAGATTTTGCCAAACCTGAAACTGCAATCTGAAAATATAAACAAACAGTTTAAAAACGAAAAGATTTGGTAAAGAAACACAGAAAATTTCCGATGGAGAAGGGGAATTGAGTGATAGGAATTGAAAACAAGACTTACAGAAGTGAAGAGGAGTAGAACTACGATAAGAATTGTACGGGGAAAAGACTGCTACAAAGACTCATTTTCACTCTCAACTGCTACAGAGAAAACTCTGATAAAAAATTTCGCTATGTGTTTAAATTAATCTTTGAAGATGTTTATCAATTTTAATGCTCTTTTTTAAATCAATGTGCGGTGTGCCATAATACGTTAAGACGATCTTGTAATATAGTTTAATGTTTTGTTATCCTATTGCCCATGCTGCCATACGAACGTCCGTCATTCAGAACTAAATTTCTAAGTACACCTATCCATCTAAATATGCCAAATAACAGTATAATTAATACACAAATATGAAAACGTTGCTAACTTCCTAAATGGGTGTTTGATGGGTGTGGTAAAAATTAAATAAAATATCGGTGTATGTTTTTTATAAAAAAAAAAAATCGGTATATGTATTCTATCACTACATTAGAAAGTATCGGTATATAATAAACCATCTTTCTAGTTGTGATATTTTCATAAATTTGCGTGACAGAGTTAAGGACAAGCAAATGTGTCATCTTTTAATAATATTAGAGATATCTTAGATTTTAGTTTAAAAAATATTTATCTTATTTTTGTATCTAATATGAAACTACTACCCTGTTATTAGTTATGTTTGTAAATCTCATATTTAATCCATGAATTCCTTGGCGCGTCACTATATTCGAAAGCAAGAACATTTCCATGACTTAACTAATCGAATTTTGTTACAACTTTTGTCACTAAGAGCAGTTGAGACTTGAGATTTTGTAATTGCTATATGTAGATCATGATTCAACAAATTGTTTTTCTGAGTTGGAAAATAATTTTTCGCAAATTTTGACCTACATATTTCTTCCTACTCAACATACGAATTATGTATATTGAACTAAACAGAAAAGGAGGACCTTGAATTGAGAGCTTAACCCATGAATCTTGGACATTGAGATATATATAGTTCTTATTAGACATTAAAGAATTACAGAAAAAACATACAAGTTGTTTCTTTCACTCCTCAATCCTCATCGAATTAAAGCTGGATCATGACGAGTTCTTCACATTACACACAGATATTAAAGCAACAACAACAAAAAAAAAAGGCTTTCGCTAAGCAAAAGGAATATGTAATGACTCAAATATAAAATATTAGACCATAATGGTCACGAGGAACACTGCCAATGAAGCAATCATACATGCAAAAAACTGAGGATTAAGAAGTCCTGAAGAAGGTGTAGCGGCAGATTTGTCGCTAGAAGAACCTTCTTTGTCGCTGGAATATCCATCTTTTGTTTGAACATTGATAACAAGTTTCATGCCTTGTTCACAATGGTTGCCCACTCCACAAATGTACCATCTCTTCCCAGCATCCCCAGCTATGGTAATTACATCTTTCCCACTTGTTAGAGCATTTGTTCCTGCGTCGTATGTGCATGTTTTGAACCCATTTCCATCCACTTTGTACACATTGTGAGCTCCTTGTGCGTAATTGAATACTACAATAATATCCAAAACAAATAAATTATAAATGAATAAAAAGCGTATAAGAGTACTGTATGTTAAACTAAATAAGTATCATATCAATACAAATATACGAATTTTATTTTAAGACGAATGAAGTATAGATTTTCAAAGATGGCTATATTTTTGGGAATGTAACGAACAGATTGATTAGTGAAAATTTGGTTTGATTTACTCACTGAGTCTATCACCAACAAAAAACTGTTTTCCCTTTGCCCAATCTTGATAATCGAAATTTAGCTTCCAACCATTCTCATCTCCAACCACAATATCTTTAGCCAAGGTTGAAGTACTGGCCAAAGCTGTAAAAATAGCAATTGATGCAATCACACGCGTGAACGACGCCATTGGGAAGCTTAATTAATTTAAACTCTTAATCTGCTACCTTAATTAAAACTCTTTTGAGAGAGTTAATTGAATCTGAGCTTGGCTTTGGAGTAGTGAAAATAATATGATTGTATATTTATAGGTGAAAATCAGCCGGCATGACGGCATTAAGCATATATTACAGATCATGTAAGATTTACTAGTTGCTTGCATGTTTTGACTTTTACCGGACGAAAAAGTCGTCCGACTAATTTTATCTCCGTGAACAATATTGTAGATAAAACATCTTTGGTTTATGTTTCCATGATATTGCACAACCAGAATTCCGGTTGTTGGTAGGAGACCTCCTAGGATAATCGTAATTATATTATTAATGAAAACTTAAATACAACACTAAAAGTATATATAAAAACAACCTGGACTACGTCAAACTGAAAGAAAAAGGGTGCAAATTTACATTTACAAGACTACAATCCTGTACATCTCTAACTTGGCAATGCTTAACTTTCGAAGAATTTTGTAAAAATCTACCCCCTCTGTTTTAATGAAATGATTATTTGGTTTATTTCGGAAAGTTTTATACCACAAAATCTACAAATTCTAAGTTCTATTTTCCGAAAATACTCCTTTTCATTTGGCTTTAGATTATGACAATATTTATCGACTTTGCACAACTCAGCTACTGTTTTGATCAGCTTATAGATAATTAAGTATATATAAACACTCGTTCTATTAATTGGAATAAGCTCTTAATCACATATTTTTCCTGTTTCGAGTTTCTCAGATGTTATAAACAAATGAGACAACATCCGCAAAGATTAATTAATTTCTGCTTGGCTTTGCTACAATTGTAATATATTTAAACCTCAGTTTATTCCTCCACTTTGAATCTTCTGCTGGCAGCTTCTTAACGTTACCAGCCAATTTGTAACGTTTAAATGAATCCTTCCTAAAAATGAATTACAGCATTAAACGTTTAAACTCCCTTCCATGATTGTAACGATCCTCCACCTGAGTATCCCACCCAAATAATAATGACGATATACGCATAATATATAGCGATTGTGCAAACACAAATATAATGGAGTAAGATCATTATAACTTGTGAACTTGAATTTATGTGACCTGAAAAAAATAAGATGAAATCCAAAAGAAATTATGTATACCAGGAAATTTCGTAATTGAATAGTTACAAGAGTCTAAATGAAGTGTTAATCACTTAAAAACAAAATTAATAGAACAGGAGGAAGTTTTAAACTGGTGTAAATCCTATCTCAAAATCCAACGGTCACGATTTTTTGTTTACTTATGAATCTGATGAGCGGGATTTCTTTGGCAACAATATGCAAACAAGGGTGAATTCAGTGAGCCCTAATTGTTCCGAATTAATTATAATACCATATATCCGAAGAAGAATAGAGTGTTACTCTTTCCGGTTCTTATCGTAAGACATTTTGATTTGTTCTAATTTTTTTTTTTTGCTTGAATAAAAAAATTTAAAAATACATTTTTATATTATACTCTCCTAATTATTAAAAAATATTTTTAAGGTTTTTCTTTTAATTAAAAAAACTTACTAAGTAAAACTTAAGATAAATTAAAATATTTTATAATAATGACGGGAGGGAGTATTAAGCAGAGAAGTTATATAGCCTAGCTATCTTTCCGAGTTGTTCTTCTCTTGCTCTTCTCCAATTGGTTATTACGTTTAGTTTACTAGCATCGGCCTATATTTAGATGTGTTTCTCGGACTAAAACTTCTATATATGATTAAAGGAGTTAACTATTTCTTTCCTATTAAAAAAAATAAAAATAAAAAATAACTTTGCTTTTAGTTACTACTATTCTCAATTACTGTTAGTTTGTCTATCCCCGAGCGCTTTTTGATTATCACAAGTTGAAAGTATAAATATATGTAGGTAATTCAATAATCTAAATGAAAAAAAAAAAGTCATTAATTAGGTAGCAGCTAGCAATGATACTCCGTAAAATTGAAATAATTCATTTTGACATAAAATCCCGACTCCCACACTCGACACTGACCATTCCCCCAAAACGTAAATAATCCTAAAACAGATAATTACAAAAAAAACGAGAATATCAAAGGAGTAAGATCCTGAGAATACGTGTAAACTGGAAAACAAAAATCAAATGCGGAGGAATGATACGGGGAAATTAAATTTAGAAAATAAAATCTGATTTTAGAAACTAATGGTAACACTTGGGTCAGATTAAAACAATCCACATTATTATCATCTGAAAACACTAACATTAATAAATCAAGAAGTTGGGTTTAAATAAACGTAATTTTCATTACTAATAATAAAAAGATTTCTAGACTAACTATAGACCCCCGTGCATGAAAGGCCATCTCTACACCAAACTTTATTTCTCCCACACACACAGAACAACCAGCATGGCACCCATGTCAAACGCCTTCATTTTAACCACAAATCCTTTGATTCATTTTTCTTTTTTCTTCTGCTCACGAGAAACCCTTCAACAAACTGATCACTTTTCCAGAGATCTTGGTCAATTGATCACCTTGCATTTCTGTGATCTTGGATTTCAATATTTATTCAAACTTTAAAAAAAAAAAAAAAACATAATCCCTAAAATCTCTGACAATCCGTTTTCTTCCTATATCAAATTTCAGAGTGAAACAACAATCAGGGGAAAGGAGGAAGATCAAGATGGATATGAATCCATCTAATAATCTTCCGAACTTCCAGGGAACACATTTCGTGGATATCCATGAAGTCTTGCATGAGGATGAAGAGGAAGGAGAAGGAGAAAAGAAACTCATCAACAACAATAATAATACCAATGTTAATGTTCCTAATCATCACGACAAAGCCAAAAACCGGTTTGTTCATCCGAAGATTAGGAATATTAACACAGACGGAAAGAGACCCCCACCTCATCATAAGGGTTTTAGCAGGCAAGTTTCGTTGGAGACTGGATTCTCTGTGCTGAATGGAGGAAGTTCTTCCAACAACAAAGCTCAGAAAAAGTTGCTTACCCGAAGTGGAAACAGTTTTGGTGATTATGGCTCGGCACGTTGTCAAGTTGCGGAAGGTAGAAAAGCAGATTTCAACATGTTCAGGACTAAATCAACTCTCAGTAGACAGAATTCGGCTTTGCCTCCCAAAGATGTTGGTGGAAATGACCCATGTCTGAAGAAGGATATTGAGTCTGGTGGAGTTGATGTGAGCGTTCCTGCTGGTAGATACTTTGCTGCTCTTAAAGGACCCGAATTAGACCAAGTGAAGGTAACCATTCTATATTGGATTAATTTACGATGTTTTAGTTAAAAGTTCGATCCTTTGTAACATTTTCTTGTAACGTTATGATATGTTTCGTCGTGTATATATTATCTTTAAATATGTCGACTACACTTCTTCAAGTGGGATTTTGGTTACTTGCAAGTCCTGTTCTGTTTAGATTTATTATTCGGTTCTGAATATGTATGATCCATAAAACTGACCCCACGTAGTTTAATCAAGATTTCCGCAGTTGTTTTTGTTGTTGTTGTGTACAAAAAGCAGGGTAGATAAGTAAGTGTGCTACATATTTTTGGCAGGACTCTGAAGATATATTATTGCCAAAAGATGAGCTATGGCCATTTCTCCTTCGTTTTCCCATTGGTTGTTTTGGTATTTGTTTAGGCCTAAGCAGTCAATCCATACTTTGGCATGCTCTAGCAGTTAGTAAATCAACCCAATTTCTCCATATTACACCTTTTATCAATATAGCTCTATGGATTTTGGCCTTAAGTATCCTTGTTGCGGTTACTGTGACCTATGCACTCAAATGCGCACTCTATTTTGAAGCTGTCAAGAGAGAGTACTTTCACCCAGTCAGAGTCAATTTCTTCTTTGCACCATGGGTTGTCTGCATGTTTTTATCCATAGGTGTGCCGCCTAAATTTGCACCAGAAACTCTTCACCCAGCCATTTGGTGTGTGTTCATCACCCCAATACTCTTTCTTGATCTCAAAATCTATGGCCAATGGCTTTCGGGTGGCAAAAGACGGCTCTCTAAAGTGGCGAATCCGTCTTCTCATCTCTCGGTTGTAGGGAATTTTGTCGGGGCAATATTGGCTGCTAAAGTTGGTTGGGTGGAACCAGGTAAGTTCTTGTGGGCAGTTGGTTTTGCTCATTACCTTGTGGTGTTTGTGACATTGTATCAGAGATTGCCTACGAGCGAAGCGCTGCCGAAAGAGCTGCATCCTGTTTATTCCATGTTCATCGCAACTCCTGCTGCAGCAAGCATTGCTTGGGGAGCTATTTATGGTCAATTTGATGGCCTTGCAAGAACATGTTACTTCATGGCCGTGTTTTTGTATTTGTCTCTAGTTGTCCGCATCAACTTCTTCTGGGGATTCAGGTAAAAGACTAATCACCTGTTGGTGAAACTCGAAATCATTGACTGATAGAATGGAAATGTACCAAACCTGTCCATAAAAATAGAATAGTCCACAGTGTAAATTGTGAATAGTCCACATTATGAATTGTGAATTGTTACAGTTTACAGTTTACAGCGTGGACTACTTTTGTGACACAGATGATATAATATACAAAATCGTTGTATCACATGAATTTTTTTCCTATTTCATTATAATATGGCTGTTTTTATTCGAACTCAGTTGTTAGGTAAAAAGTCTCTTTGATTTGAATATATCCCTACAATTAGAGGATTGATTCATTCGTTTCATCTTGATTTTGCAGGTTTTCAGTGGCATGGTGGTCTTATACCTTTCCCATGACAACAGTATCAATAGCAGCAATCAAGTATGCAGATGAAGTTCCTTGCCCATTCAGCAAAGGGTTTGCAGTTGCTCTTTCATTCATGTCATCTACAATGGTGTCCATCCTGTTTGTCTCCACTCTTCTTCATGCTTTCTACTGGCAGACATTGTTCCCCAATGACCTAGCCATTGCCATAACAACAAAGAGGACACCTTCAGCCAACAAGGACAAGAAATCTCCGAAAAAGCGATATGACTTGAAGAAATGGACCAAGCAATCCCCTCTGTCTTTTGTTTCTAACCTGAGGAAGCAGCATTCAGGTGACAAGTGTTCTGATGAAGAAAACTGAGGTTAGTTTAATTTGGAGTTCCGATCAGAAAGAGCAACCTAACTACAGAGAGATGCTAGTCGTCCATTGATGGAGGTAGGCTTGTGGAGGAGTTGAGTTCAGAGAATGTAAATTATGCAGAAACTTGTTGGGATGGGAAGACTGGCATTCTTCAGGTGGGAGATGAACCCTTTATCATGTGTATACTAGTATTTGAGTATTGATGGAATAACAGATGTATTCTTAGTTTACTGTACTATGTACTAATATACTATAGAGATACTTCCTATTAATGCCTTTGGAAGTAAACCTACTTTCTACCAATGTGTGTATTACATTATCTTATTTATTGTATTATTGTAAACCTACTTCCCAAAATAATTATCTTATTTATTGTATTATTGTTGGTATTAGAAATAGGATAAAAAATTTTTGAACAAATAGTGTAACATAGTTGGGTGAGCTCGAGCTTTAAACTTGAGCAGGTAACAGATGAGATCTGCTCACTTCCAAGTTCAAAATACTGCCAGCTGAAAATGTATTACGATTTGAATTGGACTTCTTTAATCGGAGATGTGCTACACAAGACTAGAATTAGAATTGACAGACCATTAAGCTGACAAAAAATTTCACAATATTGGGCCTATTGTGGAATTTTTCTCTCGTCAAATATTTCCTACATATGCCCAATGGATTAAATAAACTAACCATGGATTAAATAATAGTCTAAGGTTTGTTTGGCCAATATTTTATTTTAGTTTTTGTTTTAGTTTTTTTATTTGAATTTAAGATGTGATTTGAGATAAAATTTAAAAAATTGTTTGGGTAATATTTTAAATAAAATAATAATATTTTTAGAGAAACACCGGACCACCTCCACCACTAGCGCCATCGCCGGACCACCCGCCGCCGTTGTCGGCCGGCCGGATTCCATCGCCGGAATTTGGCCGGAATCTGGCCTGTTGGTTGCCGGCCGGCGGCGGTAGGTGATCCGGCGGCGGCCAGTGGCAGCGGAGGTGGTGCGGTGGTTGTGGAGGAAAAATTGTTTAAAAATAATTTTTGGAATAATTTGTAAAAGGTAAATTAAAAATGTGTTTGGATAGTATTACAATTTGTATTTGAAAGGTATTTTAAGAGGTAAAATGAGACAAAAATGCAAAACGTGATTTATCCAAACAAGACCCTAGTTTCTCTCGTGTCAAAAAACACTTTTATCTTGTATCTTCTTACATAAATAAATTTAACGAAAGTCTATATTCTACTAGTAGTTTTTGAACATCGCAATTATGGTATCGCCACAATCATGGCTTTTCTGCAAATACTTTGTTCTTCCTTGCATAGCTAGTAAAAGACTACGATCCCGACTTAGCTAGTAAGTGTTTGGAGTTTCTTTGTCCAAGTTATAGATGTGTCCCTCAAAAGGTGCTCCTGCAAGCTTCTATGATTTGATTTTTTATCAAAATTTCCAGGGTACATACAAAGGACATAAGAAACTATCAGGAAGAACTTCAACGTAATAATCACTTATAAAATGTATATATAGGAATAACGTTTGATCTAATTTAGATAGAAACAATGTATCAAAATAATTAAACGGATAGTTATAGGAAAGAAACTAATACTCCCTCCGTCCAAAAATTATTGTGCAGTTTGAGATTTCACTTTTAGTACAATTTAAACTAAAAATGAAAACTTAAACTGGACAATAATTATGGGACGGATGGGGTATTTCATTAGTGAGTTTTGTAGATTCCCCAAAATGGGATAAAAATTTAAAATAAATTGTAATAAGGGCCCTTCGAACACCATCCATGGACTCCCACATCTGTGTAGCCACCTCGAGACATTCACAATCCAAGGTATAGTGTTATACCGAATAGGCAAACACATTCTAAAAATCAAATCAAAATCCTACATTATACAGAATCATCATAAATAAATGGATAGGAGATAACTTGCACGATTTGAAATTGAGAAACTGTAAAATTAATTTGGGGACCCTTTTTAGTTTTTATGGCAATTAATTTCATTTCAATCATAAATAGTAGTAGAATGTTGTCCTCTTCTCCACCACTGTCAATGTCAGCGAATTTAATGAGCATTTACATTTTTTTTTTTACATTTTTGAATTGCAGACTGACATTTTTCACAAGTACAGTTCACATTTTTTTTTTTTTGATCAACAACGGTGCTAAGTTCTACAGAAAATGGAAAGAAAAATACTATTTATATTTATTTCGGAATTTCATATTTCCTTGTTTACAAACCAAATTAAAAAAATTTTACCAAAAAGGAAACCTTTTCAGAGTTATATCTGAGAGGGGCCCAACTAAATTGACTTGACGAAGTGGGGGGAATCAAATAATCAAATCAAAACTGTTGGATTGGATGGCAATCTCGGGGAATCCGTGACAGCACAAGGGTAAAGTTGGACTGACGCCGGAAATATGCCTTCAGTTTAAGACAGCTTTGAGCCGTCCGAAACAGAGCTCAAACTCCGATGACACAACCTTGCATCAATGGTCAAAGACAAAAAAAAACACCTCTTCCCACACAAAATGACACTTTCATCCCCAAGGCATTCAAATTCAAATGAATACTTGGTGGAGTTATTAATTCCATTACCAAAACCAAATTCACAAAACGATATCTCGAGACTTTTTGGGCATTCCTATAAACTTTTATCAACATTTTTTATTTTTTACTACAAGATTCTACAACGAATCAACTTGAGTAAAACGATGAGATGTGTAGTGTAAGGATAAACAACTTACAAATCCCTGTAAAAAAAGTACATTTTATTCATAGTTTCATTTCGACATGTTACTTGTTAATGATGCTCCATATCAATACATCTACAAAGTATTATATAACAGTGTATAAAATTAATAATTATTTTTTCTACTCTGTTTAATTTGTTTTTATGAAACTTCAAAATAAAAGGTACTAACTTATTAATGATAAACTCGTGTATACATAATAGTAATCTTTAAAGTTTAATTCTAGGGTCTCTTCTAAATGTATTTCAAAGTGAATCGTGGTGTGATTTAACAATATTTATCGTGATCAATTACAAGTCCATCAATTGAATAGTTATAAATGGCATGAGACTATGGGACACTAAAGTTGATTTAAATGACTTTTGTTTTTAACTTAGGTTGTTGTTCACTGATTAAAAAAAAAAAGGTACACATAAAATTTCAAATATCCAATAAAAAGAAATAGAGACAAAAACTTTTTCTCTGAGCCAATGTGAAAAAAAGGGGGGAGAAGAACAAAACGACTTTTAGGATCCGGGGGGATACAATCGTCTAAACAGGAAATGGAATGGTAACGTTATCCTCCGAAACCCTCTATTCGGACCTAACCCGGATCCGCATATTCAAAAAAACTTTGGATCCTTCTATTCTTTCTCTTCTTGCCTCCCCTCCCTAGACTCTCTCTCTATCTATTTTCCATTACAGACAACACAAATTTTGTATGTATCTGTTTTTGATTAACAAAACGGCAGCGGAGACGACGAGAAAGCTCACTGCCATTTCCCATTTCCCGTTTCCGCACGCATTTCGATGCACTTTTCCGTTCGTTCCGATGCTTCCGTAGTACCTTCAGTCCTCAAGTCCAGTACCGGTTATTAGGGGGAAGATATAGTGAGGTTAAAATTATTTTGTTCTGCTCTAGTTTAATTGATATCATTTTGTGGAGGAGAGGATGGATGAGGAAATGGAGGAATGTAATGATGTTGAATACACATTCACGGCGGTTGAAATCGACCTGGATTACGAGTACGATGCCGTCCGGTTCTTTGATTTTACCCGGGACGAATCCGCCGCCGAGGCTTATCAAGCCGAGCTCTGGTTTGATACCGCCGCTACTTATCCGCCTTCCCGTGAGTTTCCGCTTATTCTCTTACTGCATTTCCTGTTCTTCTAATGCGAGATTATTTTGTTTGGCTTTTTCCCCCGGATTTTTGAAGAAGAGGAGCGTCGTGCGGTGGGTCCGTCGGAGAGCCGTTGGGGAAAATTTTTATTTTGTGCTTTACCTTTATTGACTTTCTGCAACTTCTACAGTAGTAATTTTTAGTCTAATTTTTCCCATATATGAGGGTTTTCTTTTAAATTTTTAAGCATTCTAGAAATTAAAGGGTGGTTTTGATTTTTGTTTGAACGGTCTGATTAAGTGTGGTGGTCTACATTTAGAAAGGATTGAATTGGAAATATTTGCAGCTTTGTGATTATTTACTTCTTTACTTTCAGCTTTTGTGGCAAAGTTAATTGGTGGTCAAGAGTTGTTGGAGAATGTAAATACCTCCCCGAAGCCTAAACCTAAGCCTACCGAGAACACCAATTTGTTGGGCAGCAATGAAGCTGAAGACATTGAGATAGATCAAGACTCTTATGCTGTTGATAGAGGTATGATAATTAGTAATAGTGTCTTTTACAGTCCCTACTTCATTCTGTAGTATAATGTGGTCTTGTCTATGTTTCATTCAAACAAGCAGCAAGCTCTTTGAAACCAAATAGATGATCAGGGAATAGTTTTAAATTATTTATTGCTAGGTTGGTAATTGGAGGTTGTACTGTGTGGACATTACTGTTGTGAAGAGTGAAATGTGGCCTCTGATTGCTGGTTCGTGCTTTCAGATGATGAGGGGAAGGGTTTGAACTTTAGAGGGACTTCTGGACATCTGCAGCGGAACTATGGACCAAAACTTCAAAACCAGCCGCAGCAAATACCCTCAGGTGCCATGAACTTCTTCCATAAACCTCTTTGCGCATTTGATTGTCTAGTGGCAATCAATAATTTGTTTGCCTGGTTTTTACTTGATCAATAACAAATTCGGTTTATGGCTGAGCTGGGAAAATTGTATTTTCTAAGTTTATGGATTTTAAAAAGAATGTTCTACTTTTGTAGGGTTGAAATTCTATGATCACATCACACAAGATACTTCAAAAGCCAAATTAAAGTCCACTGTGAAGCCTTATATATCAAGGACCTCAACACTTTTGAAACCAACTGCAAGTCAATTGGCGAAGCAAAATAACCCTCGCCTAACGTGTTCTACAAGGTTTGTGATTGAAATTGTTGTTCGTTTTCATTATATTGCTTCCAGTTCTCATTAGAGGTGAAGTAGCCAAGTAGGTACAGATAGATGGGGTTATTACTTGGTTTTTGGGGATTCTTAACTTTATTGTTCATTTCAATAAATTGGATTATCATTTAACTGAATTTACGAGAAAATGAGCATACATCACATGGTGTAGCCATTTCATTTTTCTGGCCAACTAATGTTTGGATACCTTGTGTATGTACCAGTTCTTTTATTTCAAATAACTTTGTTTTCTGAATACTAGGTCTCAGAAGCTGTTGGTTGATACATTGGACAAAATCTCAAATAATTCTATAAAGGTTGAAATTCAGCCTGCAAAGAGACAAAAGCTTGAAGGAGGTCTCTTGAATAAGGTATGTTGGTCCAGTATCAATGTGCTAGTTTTTTTATGCTTTTAGTTAACTCTCTGCTCTTACATGTTCTACACTTGTAAAACTTCAGTTGTATCTTTAGCCATTACTTAGATAGAGATGCAAAATCCTTTTCTCTTTGCTCATTGTTTTCCTTCATAAAATGTTACCTTTACTTTGTTCATTTTAAAGATGAAATTTGATTATGTTTATTCTGTCCTTTACTCAAAAAGATATTAATCAGATTGTTTGTTCGTACTTTAAAAAGATATTAATTAGACTGGTTGTTCATACCTCTAACAGATTGGTGAGACGAAGCAGCAAATGAACTTTATCCACAAGCTGCCTAAGAAGGTAAGCTGCTTGCATTGGATTAAAGAAAGCAGAAAAAGCATTTGTAGTTTAATATTTCTTGTAAAAGTTTCCTTCTGCCTGAATTGATGTCCTTTACTGGCTGGTTTTCAGGATGTCACCGCTGAAGTAAATCCTTTGCCAGCAAAGTTAAGGATTACGATACCCAGGGAACCCGGTCTTGAAACAATGATTAGGGCTCAAAGAGCAAGGTACTGATATGCATTGCAGAACTTAAGTGGGGATGGTTTCTTAGAATGTATAAAATATCTGACATGCTTGAGTTCAGGCAAAATACTAGCAAGGAGATGGAAAAGGCAGATACAACTTTCCGTAGGTTTAAAGCTCTTCCCCTGAACAGAAAGGTTGCTTGTAAATGCCTTATGAGATTTGCTTAAAAACCCATCATGTTTTGATTTTCTAATCATATGCGGATTTGCAGATTCTTGAAACTCCTTCCTTGTTGGCACCAAAAAGAAGTGTTCCTCGAGTGCCACAATTTCATGTAGGTCCTTGGGTTACTCTATTTGTGTGTTCTTGTTTTAATGCATTTTCTATGAGCAGCAGTGAGTCTTCTATAGCAGAGTAATTCCTCTTTCACAGCTGAAAGAAAGCATAGCATTACAAAGTGGGGTTATTATTTTAATCTAATCTTTTTTATCACTTTGATGATCAGGAATTTCATTTGAAGACTTCAGAGAGGGCTATGCAGCACACTACTAATGTTACATTGCGCACTGCAGCTGGCAGCAGTTCTGAGAAGGTTAGTTATTACATATCTTGTTTTCATAATTGATGAAGCCTTTTATTTTAGATTTTATCTTTTTCGGTTTATTCTAAACTAAAATGGTGCAAAAGCCCGTGAGCTTTCTGAATTCCCTGTTTCCTTCTACTTTTTAATGCATAAAAAGTGTGCTTCTGTTCATGATTCCATTGGAATTTGATGAGGCTACCTCTTCTGATGCACTGGGCTTAGTTCATGTTATCTAGACATCTTCTGTAGTTAGCTATCTCAACTCTGATTATGATTATTTCCTGACAAATATGCATAACCCATATCAGGAGTTACATAATTGTGACAGAACTTCAACAGCAGAATGCAGAGATGAAACAAGGTAATGTTTTAAGAAGTTCTATTGCTCCTTGTTAGCTTCTTGTGAATATAAAAACTTCAGCTGTGCTTTGTCATTTCATGTTCGCTTCTGCTCGTGTTCTTTTCTTCCCTCTTTTTTTTTTTTTGTTTGTCTGAGAAATATTCCATGTTGTTTTACTGTCTTGAATAGAAGATTTATGTTTCTTGCATGTTCTTGTTTGTATTATGTAGTGTTCATTTGGACCCAACATAATTATGCTTTTACGCGGTTGTGCTATCAATGTATCAAACACAATATTTTGTTGATATTTCCTCTAGATCACAATTTTGGTCTCCTTTTTTTCAAAATTTAAACTGTGTTAAATATTTATTTTGGCCTTTTATGTGTTCTTGGACTGGATGTTCTGTCAGATTTCCAGCTTTTGTTTTAAACATTTTGGCTGAGCCATCAGTTTTTCATCTGTCCTTGACCTCCGATTTTCTGGCCTGTCTTACCTTTAAACTCAACTTTGAAGCCTTACCATTGGCTCGTCTTCTTTCTATTGTTTATTCTAGATGCAATGTGGTGGACACATCTAAGGATCAGAGAACGCAGTTGTCTCACAACTTTAAAGCTCTACCTCTTAATAGGAAGGTAGTATGTTAGAAGTAACTCTCATTCTTTCATGTGGTAATTTTTTTTTCACCCCTTGGATCTAATAAAGTTACTTCAACACAGATATTCTCGAGTAAAGGAGACATTGGGGTTTTCCGGAATAACAAAAAAGAGATCACAGTTCCAAAGGTATTTAGCATATAATATGTTGACTCCTTATATTTGTGTGTCTGTTTATAATTGTACTCCCTCCATTCCAAAATAAGTGTCATTCTAGAGTTTGCACACAGTTTAAGAAATCATTAAATAGGTAGTTAAATTACTAGAATATCCTCAACTAACCCTATTAAAATAAATGTTTACCAATAATATTATTACTTTTGAGGGTATGTTTGGAAACTTTTGACAAAAAATGCATTGGAATCTCAAAACGACACTTATTTTGGAATTTTTCCATTTTGCTAAAACGATATTTACTTTGGAATGGAGGGAGTATTACATTTTTTTCAGTACGGTAGTTTTTACTTATATGGTTAATCTAATACTTGACTTTAATTACAGGAATTTAACTTCCATACGGATAAGAGGGCTCAACACAATCCACCAGTAGAGCTTTTTAATAAGGTAAAATTTGTTGTAAGCATGTTTTCATGATAGAGCTCTCAGAAGTCTAATCCTCGCACTCTAGTGGGGATCTCTATCGGCATTTGTGTCAATATTATTTCTGTTCCCCTCTTTCAAAAATCAGTGACAGTCTTCTCTTTGTGATTTCTAGCTTTCTATTGCATCTGAACACAAACAGAAGTTTGAACCTGCTACCTTCCCAGTAAAGGTAACACAACTTGCTCTTCCAAAATTAAGAGACCAGTTTGAAGTTGATTCATGTTTTCTGATTGAGCCTTTTGTAACTATTTTTGCTTTAAGGGTTCAAAAGAAAATAGATGGGATCCTTTTCAGCAAGAAAAGCAGGTATGCACTTGATTGATCCAGAATACGAGTTAATTACATGTTGCATATGTCATTCTTTCCAGTATATGCTCAATTTAATTATCTTCAGCCTTCTTTTAAAGCCGTAGTTGCTTTTGTTCGCTCTAGGTAAAACAAGAAGTAAAAGAAAAACCACCTCTGAATGGAAGCAGGAAGGTTTCATTTGGTGTCAATGGGAGAAAAAATGATGGCGGTTTGGTGTCTGCTACCAGCAGGTAAGTTGGGTTTTTGATATGTTTGAATTCCCAATGTTGTCCAATAAAATGGTGCTTACTGACATAAAGTTGATTCAGGAGCTTGGGAGTGCGCTGAGAATGAAGAGAGTAGGATTTTCATGATCCCGTCGTGCCTGGAATTCGCCTCGTGCTGCTCCCTCCCTCGAGATGCCGGAAATTTCTTCGCCTCAGCTATCCTCCTGACCGTGGACATAATTGAATGTAAATTTGTGAACACCTTCGATTTCATAAGAAAATTGAGCTCCTTTTGCTTGTTAGAAAATCTAACCAAGTGAAGAAAAGAAAGAAAGAAAAGAAATGGATGCGAAGCTTATCTTATAAATTGGTTAGCAATCACGACGTCAGCATCTGAGTCGGGGATTATTAACCAGCAAATACTTTCTCGTACATACAAGACGAACCTCACTGGTCGAGACTAATTTGTTATGCACGCAAAAAGCATTTGGGTCCATGAGATAAAATGGTAGTTCAAACTTGAAGTTCTGTTCATGCTGCAATTGCAAGTTGTGGATTATTGGACTCCTGGTTCCCTATAATGCCTTTAGATTTCTTTTCTTCTTTATTTTTTTTTTTTTTCAGAGTAAAAGTAGTTTTATTCATATTTGGTAGAAAACATTGAATAAAGGTGGAAGGAACCAAGTGGTACACTAACTTTCCGTATAACATGTTTAGTTATGTTGCTTACTAGTTAACCTCTGACCTATGATTTTAATTCCTCATTCAACATGGTTTTCATTACTTAATATGACCTATGATTAAAAAATTGAAAGGTACCATTTCAAACACAATTTGTTTACTAAAATGTATGACTGAGAAATTAGATTTGGAGGGTAAGGATATGAAAGGGGGACTAAATCTAAACAAACTATATATAGCTTAGCCTTTGGACTTGGAGGGTCAATTTTATGAGGCGAGGTTTCACCTGAACAACTTTGAGTAGAAAGTAATAGAAACCTGAGAGCCTCAGGGGGAACACGTGCGGCACGTGCGGGATCTCACTTTGCTTGCTACAGATTCCCATCATTCAGAGAGAGAGAGATGTGTAATATCCACACATCATGTGCTCAGCTGGAGTGATGAACATTGCGACTATATGGAAGAAAATTCATGATGTGAATCTAATCTCTTCTTTCTTAATAGTGTTCCATACTTCTATTCTTCCTTCTATGGTCCTCACTTGTTGGTTGCTTACGACGTTACGACTTTATGAAACAATGACAACAAATATTTGTATTATTCCCAGGACCTAAAAAATACAAAAGAAAAATAATAATAATAACAAGAATAACAATTATTGTATATCAATTGAGAAACCAAGAACCTAGATTGACATTCATGGATGCAGGCCCTTAGTTGCCTGGATTTTTCGGTTGTGGTTTGAGGTTGACGGCATCTCCCTCAGCTGGCAATTGTTTGGACTTGGATTCTTGCATGTGGTTGACACTTGGTGCAAATGGGCTTTTTTCTTTCTTTTTTTTTGGGTTATTTTACTCTTTTCCATAATATTTTTTGTAACCAAAAAATAAATAAAACTGGTATCATTTTCTTCTTCCATGAAAATAAACATTAGGTATATGATTAAACTTTGGCTGAACAACTTCGTCCACTAAATTACAGACATTCTCGTAGACATTTATTTTTAACAATTCTTAATAAATCCAATAAATGATACTAAATGTTATGTCATAAGAAAATATACTATGCTTGTATAACAGTTGCACATAATAGTTGTGTATTGTATTCACAAGCGAGGAAAATGTAATTAATTTGGCTAGTTATTGCATGATTTGTGGGTGGGCAGTGCTGAACCTAATCCTTGATTAGAAGCTAATTTGTTGAATTGTGGACATAGTAAGCCATAATAAGCCATAGTGAGTAATTATTAGACTATTTTAAAAATTTTGAAGCAAAAGTATCTTTGTTATAAAATGAAATTGAACTTTTGACCTCAATTATATGAGTTGTTACGGCTTAAACACACACTTTCTACACTATGTAGAAAGCTGCAAACCCTAACTAAGAAAACAATAATTTGGCGGGAAATAAAGAAAACCACGAACGAGTACCAAGAAAATCTGGAAATGGTGTGAAACTGTGAATCGATAGTAACAGTGTTTGGGGCCCCCATCTTATGTCAGCAAATCATACATCAACGATGATGATTTGCGTAGAATGTCTTGGATGATCCACCAACCAAAAAGGACACAATCGTAAATTCAGACAAAGCCCTCCAAAAGATCCCAACAAACTAGATTGGGATTCTCTTCAAACAAAAACCGCGCAAAATCATCGAAAAATTGGAGTGAGAATTATCGTCAAAAAAAATCATTTTTGTTATTTTTTGCACCACACATAAAAGAAAAGAAGGAAATTTTCAATTTCTTGTATATAAAACAAATGAATTTCCCCCGTTATTTGTTCTCTTATTATTTGCTTTTTGCTTAAAACATGGAACAAGCTTTTTAAGTAATAGTACTAACAAAAATTAAATTTTGTACAGAGAGAGAGAGAGAGAAAAAAAGAGGCATTTCTCTTACCTCTTTCTCCTCCATCCCTCCGCTCATCGCCTTCGAACACTCCGTCCACCACCATTTTATTCGTTATACTCGAGCTTCTACCAAAGATTGAATTTTGAATACTTTTTTGAGGAACCCATTTCGTAAAAAATGCTTCGGCAATGAAAAAGGACGAGGAGGAGTCTGCTCCCAACAACAACCGAACTGGCGGCGGCGGCGGAGCTACGACGGCGATGAGGGTGATTGTACCCTTACAAGGTGTAGTTCAAGGAAGGGGCGGCCTAATCCTAGGCTCAGTCATTCCTTGTGCTCTTTTTTACTTTTTCCAACTCTATCTTAAGCGCAACCGTTCTAAAGGCGGCGGTAATAATTCTCCCCAGCCTCCCCGGAGGTCGCAATCCGGTGCCTATTTGCCGGACGGGACTTTGCAAAGGGTTCAATCTCGTTCTTTGTTATCTCAGCGGAGTGGGTCTGGTGGGCCCGTCCCCCCTGTTTCTTCAAGGGCTAATTCAATTGCTAATAAGCAAGTTGATGGTCCTCACTATGTCGGGTTGAAGAGAGCCGCCGAGGACCCTTATGATGAATTAAGCAATCCTAATGGTGTCATTCAACTTGGTTTAGCTGAAAATAGAGTGGGTATTTCTTCTCTCTGTCTTCCTTTTTCCCCTTCTCTCTCTGTCTCATTATGTGGTCCTACTGTTTGAGTTTTCAATTTTGCATTAATGATGTTTATTATTCATTCCTGTTGATTACGATCATTTCTGGAAGATTGAACTTTTTTGAACCGTAATAAAGTTTGAATGAGTTTATTTTATTAGGTAATGATGTTCTCGCTTTTGGTGATTACAGTTGTCGTTGGATTTGGTTCAAGAGTGGCTAGCAGAGAATGCTAAAGAATCAATTTTGGGACATGATTTGAGTATAAGTGGCATCGCTACCTATCAACCGTTTGATGGGTTGATGGGGTTAAAAGTGGTAAGTACTTTTACCTTTTTGCCGAATTTCTTGTGTTTCTGTGCTAATTATTGTTGTGCTCATAATCTTTTCTACTGGACTTCTTTGATTTTTCATTAAGTTTTGTTCGAATTGGAGGTCTTTGTACGGTTTTCGAGGAAAAATCCTGTCTGCAAAAACTAGTGGGTGAAGTGGTTAATTCGAACTTCATATATGAAATTGTCTTGCACTATTTGATAATTCATGGAAATATAAGAAAACAGCTGCTCCTAATAATTTCATGTAGTATCATACCGCATTAAAAGGCAATTTGCCATGTATGGAACTTCACGGCCATGCCATTTTTTCTGGATTAAAATTGTGGTACTTTGAGCAATGAAATATAGAATTCCTACCCTTCATTGGCTCTGTGAATGCCTGTGATGATACCGGCAGATGTATAGAGGGATGGTAGTTCATATAGCTAAAATTTCTTCTTGGCTAACTGAATGAAATGGGATTCTCTTTGGCTGTAATTCTTCTAAAGTCTTCATGTTAGCCTACCAAGTCTTATGCTGGAGTATCATAGTGTGGCTAAATATGAGTATGGGGTCTAGCATTTTGCATTATTGTCTTGGAGCATATATGTTTTTATTGTAAAACATGTTTCTTAAATACGGTAGTTGTAATTTTGCTTTGGTTGCTCTATGATCTTAGTATCTGATGCCAAATTTCCTAAAACATGTAGGCAGTGGCTGACTTCATGTCTCAAGTTATGGATGGATCATTATCCTTTAACCCATCCCAAATAGTTTTAACAGCAGGTGCAACCCCGGCAATTGAGATCCTCAGCTTCTGCTTAGCTGACCCTGGGAATGCATTTCTTGTTCCCTCACCATACTATCCCGAGTAAGAATCACACAGACTGCTGCCTAAAGTTACTTTGTTTTTACAATATTGTTTATATCTGGTCACTGATATTACTTTTTGACGCACAGTCTTGACCGGGATGTAAAATGGCGAACTGGTGTGGAAATTGTGCCAATTCCCTGCCGCAGTGCTGACAACTTTTGTTTGAGTACTACTGCACTTGACCGTGCATTCACCCAGGCAAGGAAACGTGGGCTTAAAGTTCGTGGCATTATAATCTCAAACCCTTCAAATCCAGTGGGTAATCTGTACGATCGGGAGACTTTGTGTAGTCTTTTGGACTTCGCTACCGAGAAGAACATTCATGTCATATCCAATGAAATATTGGCAGGGTCAACCCACGGAAGTGAAGAGTTTGTCAGTATGGCAGAGATAATGGAGTCTGAAGATTTTGATCGAACAAGAGTCCATATAGTCTATGGCCTATCAAAGGACCTCTCACTTCCAGGTTTTCGGGTTGGAGCCATCTATACTTCCAATGAGAATGTTCTGTCAGCTGCTAGGAAAATGGCAAGGTTCTCATCTATTTCAGCCCCATGTCAAAGATTGCTCATCTCAATGCTGGCTGACACGAAGTTCATCCACCACTTCGTCAAGAGCAATCGTGAAAGGCTTCAAAGGATGTATCATGAGTTTGTTTCTGGACTAAAGCAGTTGGGAATTGAGTGTGTAACAAGTAATGGAGGGTTTTATTGTTGGGCTGACATGAGCAGGTTAATCCGATCTTACAACGAGAAGGGGGAGCTCGAGCTTTGGGAAAAGTTATTGAATGTTGCCAAGATTAATGTTACTCCGGGGTCCTCCTGTCACTGTATTGAACCGGGTTGGTTCAGATTATGTTTTACCACATTGAACGAAAAAGATATTCCAGTTGTCATGGATCGTATTAGAAGAGTTTCAGAAATTTGTAAATCTCGTAGTTGAGTTGATACTTAATGATGTTGGTTCATTGAGCTCAAGGATAAACAAATCCTACAATTCTTTGTTGAGGTATGCCCTCCAGAATTTGTGAGCTTCAGACATAGCAAGAAAGAGTCTGGTTCAAAGGTGCAGATGAAGATTGATTACTGGACAGATGTCTTGTTCCAGGCTTGGATGGCTCTAGATGTAGAGGTTGATCGCTATGCTGGATTTGATAATGGGTGTTTCCCTTTTGTGTTCCGAGTTTCTGTCAACCCAAAGATGAAGTTCGTTCCCCAGAATTTAGATGAAGACTGATGGTTGCAATTCAGCAGCATTTGAAGTAGAAACGCTTGGTCATAACCGGTTCACAAAGTCCTGGAATTGTGTGTATTCATGGCGGCACTATCTGCCCCAAAGATCGGTTATTTTCAGGCTCAAACGGATGACTGTCATGTCAAGTTTATATGGTACAGCGGTTGTATAAAACAATCTTTCCTAAGTAAATCATTCAGAAAAGCACAAGCTAGAAACGACCTTGTCTAAGACAAGCGGTAGCAAGCAATTTTGGAATTCTTTTTTTGACGTTTACCTCAGCAGATCCATTTGGCTTATCGTTCTCATTCTTTCGCCCTGGGTTTTATGCCAACATTCAGCCTTATCATAGAATAAATGATAAAATTTGGGCCTCTTTATCCGGACGTTTCAGCATTCAGGGCATTGTTTCCTAGCAGGGTGCCATTTGGCTTAGAATGTTTTCCTGCATTTTCTTTTAAGTGAGGTTACAATAGTACTGGCATAAGAAGGATTGGAAGAAAATGAGATTGGCGAGAAACACTTTCTCAAGTTTCCTCTGATTTATACAAGAACGAATGGATTTATTGCGAGCCACCGCAAATCTTTATACTAATCCTGACATAATGAATACAAAAGAATCATTTTTGTTTTTCTTTACCAAGGACAAATTTCCGAATCATCCACCTCTATGCCAAAGTTTCCATTGGAGAAAATACCGACTTTTTTTTTGTTTTCTGTATTCACATTCTGAAATCTGAATCAAGCAAAATGGTCCTCAACTCCCTTCCTATGACCCTATACCATTTCTTATGGACTCAAGAACCTGAACTACCTCAGCCATGCTAGGTCTCCTGGAAGGAACTTCAGAAGTACATATCAATCCTAATTTCATAACCTGGATCAGCTCATTTTCAGCATATCCACGCAAACTTCTGTCTAAACAATCTGAAGCAGCACCCCTCTCTATCAATGTCCTAACATATTCACACAAAATTACCACCTCAATGTTTCCCCGGCTTTCCACAGGTTTCTTTCCAGTCACCAATTCTAGTAATATTACACCAAAGCTGTAGACATCACATTTGTCGGTGAGCCTCATACTCTGGGCCAACTCTGGTGCAATATAACCAACAGCATTGTGAGACTTGGTTAATCCGTAATTGTCCAAAAGAGGGAGTAACTTCACCAAACCATAGTCGGATAGCTTTGGTTCATAGTTGTTGTCGAGAAGAATGTTGGTGGACTTGATATTGAGATGAAGGACAGGAGGCCTGCAGTCATGGTGGAGGTAAGCAACCGCCCTGGCAGTCCCCAAGGCTATCCGGAATCTCCTTGGCCAGTTTAATTCAGGATTGCCAACACCAGAGCTGGTTCCAGGATAACTAAGCCCATGCAGATTATCATACAGGTTCCCATTTGGGATGAACTCTGTTAAGATTAACTGCATACTGGAGGACCAATAATAACCCTGGAGAGCTACAAGATTTGGGTGTTGGAGGTTTCCTAATCTGCCAATTTCATGCTCAAACTCATCTTGGTTTCTGATACCTCCCAATGTCTCAAGCTTCTTTACAGCAATGGATACATCACCTTCAAAAGTGGTTTTGTACACTGTTCCAATTGAGCCCCCACCAATTATACACTCCTTGTCAAGCAAGGCTTTAGTGCCAGCCTCCCAGTCTTCATATTTTGAAGGCAAGGTCTTGCTGAACAGAACCAACTTTCCAATTATAAAATTAGAATCTGTTGAAGCTAATGGAGTGCTTTCTACCATTACTGCTTCTTCTTCTCTTCTCCTACTGCGAGCCCTGAGGTTCATCACTGATATAATACAGACACCAGTGAGAATTAGAGCAGCCGCAACAATAGCAACAATGGCTGACACGCTCAACTTTGGTTTTCTAGCTGCCGTTGTGACATTGCCCGGGCAGGAGGTTTCTAAAGGAGCACCGCAGAGACCTGGATTGTGTGAAAAGGCCGAGGCACCAAAACCCTGAATGATTTGAGCAGAAGGTACAGGACCAGAAAGGTCGTTATAAGAGACATTGAAATGAGTTAAGTTCTTCAAATTTCCAAGTGTATCAGGGATTTGTCCAGAAAGATGATTCTCCGACAAATCCAAAGAATGTAAGTTAGACAAGTTTCCAAGTGTCAAAGGTATGCTTCCATTAAGCAGGTTTTTATGTAGGTCAAGAATAAGCAGGTATGACATGTTGTAAAGATTTTGTGGTATTTCGCCCTCTAAGGAATTTCCCGAAACATCCCTGCAAAATGATTGAGAAGAATCTTAGTACAAAAGCAGCGCTTATACAGAGCTAACTTACTGAAACTAGAAATTAGACTTACAGCTCACGAAGAAATCTGCAATTTGCTATCTCATCAGGTATCTCACCAGTGATGTTCATGTTGTGCAAATCCAGAGCCTGGAGCCACTCAATACTCCCAAATTCTGCAGGGATGGTTCCATCTATGGAATTATCTGCTAATCTAATAACCAGAAGCTGTTTGAGATTTGCAATTTCATGAGGTAAGCTTCCTGTGAGCCTGTTGGAGCTCAAATCTATATACTTCAGACCGCTGCACTTTGTGATGCTTGGTGGAATTCTTCCAAAAAAATTATTCCCAGAAACGTCCAGAAATTGGAAAGTGTCACTACAAGTTTCAATCTCTGGAAATCCCTCCTCAAATCCATTATGCGAGATGTTGAGATACTGGAAGTTTGGCCCTCCAAGAAGTCCGAAAGGGGCCAAACCAGTGAACAGATTAGTACCAAGGTCCAGAAACTCCAGTTGTCTGCAGGCAGAAACTTTCTCTTGAACAGTTCCTGATAGTAAATTGCTCCTCAAAGACAAGTACAATAAGCCTGGAATGCCACTACAAATTTCTGGAGGCAGGTTACCGCTGACACTATTATAAGATAAATCTAATCCCTCAAGACTCAAGCAATTGCCAATTTCTGGAGGTATTGGTCCTGATAGATTGTTACCGGAAAAAGAAATGAACCTTGTTTTGAAACAATTGTCAAACAAAGCTGGGGGAATTTCTCCAGTATATCCATTTTTTGACAAATCAAGGAACCTTATGCTGGGCAATTCTCCAAGAAATTCTGGAATAGAGCCGGATAAAGCATTGGAGCTCACATTGATCTTCCAAAGTGTATCAATTTCAACATACTGGGAAGGGATATTACCAGTAAACTTATTGCCAAACAAGTTAAGGGTTCTTAAAGACTTTAATCCTGCCAAGGAAGGGGCTAAAATTCCACCAAGATTAGTATTCCACAATACAATCTTCTCCACATTACCAGCTGAATTACAGAACACGCCACTGAAATCTCGACAAGGGCTCCCACTTGGATCCCAAGAGCTCAAAGTATTAAAAGGGTCACTAGAAATGTTACCCTTGAATTGAAGCAAGATTTCTTTTTCAGTCAATGATGAAATTACCACAAACTTGAGCAAACACAGGGAGCTAAAGAAAGCAAGGCAATGAAAACATGTACCTAATCTTTTCATGCTCCCAGCGAAGAAGTCCCAGCATTATAATTGCTGGATCCAATTCAAAAACAGCTTGATCTCTGCTCCCCTGCCGCACACATACTTGCATTCATCAATGTAGGTGGGCCGCCTCAGCTATTAAGCAAATCAAGATCACACCTTTGACTGAACAGGAGCATCCCTCTTCACTCAAATGCAGAATCTTGCTGCCAAAAGGGTAAGAATCCAAGTACATTTTGCAGCATGGCCAGCAATAATCCAGCATAAACCTCTGTCGTTATTTTAATTGTGGGGGAATCTTTCTCTGGGGAAGCAATGAAGCAGGGAGCTTTTGCGCAGGTTTTGCTTAATTGGTTCTGTACAGAGTAGCCCTAAATTCTATGGTTTCCAGAATTTCAAGGAAATTGAATAGTCCAAGAAGTGGGGATGCACAGAGAAAAAGGAAAAGGGGAAACTGAATTGCTGGCTGGTAATGGCATGCTATAGAAAGAAAACACCAAAAAAAAAAACCCCAGTGATGAAATGGAAATTGGCTGGAAAGAAAGCAGCCCAGAAGGCACAGTTTGCATTCACTAAAATTTAATAATACACACTAACTTCCCTCAAATCTCAACACCCAAAAAATAAAAAAAGTACTTATATATATATAACTTTGATGGTCGCCACCACGTGGACTTTGGTGTCACCGAGTTGTAAAAGGAAGTTTGTCCCAATTTCAGATTTTTCTTTCTTCTTCACCACTTTGCTTCTTCTCTCTCACATACACACACAGTTAAAAAAAGCCATGTTCTTGGATTAATGTAGGATTAATGTAAAGAAAAGAAGAAGAGAGGAACAGAACAAAGAAGGACGATGATGAAATGATGAGTTAAAGAAACAAAAGAAGGAACCATTCTGTCTGGACTGATTATGAGTCTTCAATGTTGACCATAACTATGACTAATCAGGCTTTTGAGTGTAGGGTCGATTTCAACACAGCAAAGAGATGCATTTATTCTCATTCACCAACCAAAGCCAAAGGGGGCACCAAACACCATCACCACCTCCACCTCTCTGCCTCATTATAACGAGAAACCAAACCCAAATGTCATAAATAAATACAGTGAGAGAGACAGAGGTTGGTATTATTAAATGAGCTTTGGGATTCTTTTTTTAATCCTAGATAAGTATATTATTGTCTCTGTTATCTCATTGAAGTTATGAACTTTTCCTCTTTTTTTTTTCTTAGTCCACCACATTTACAGGAATGTGAATCAATAGGACTTCCAATTCTTGGAAATTTTAGTTGATCCATCAACGTAAACATTAAGGGTCCACCAAGTTTTTCTTTAATCTGTTGGGGAAGATATGATGCATTTACTGCAATTATAGGCTAAAGAATAGGCAAGTTTTAGCACTTTTGGTATTGATTAAGCCAGTAATCTTGTTGTGAATGATGTGTCTTAAAAAAGGGTTCTTGGATAAATGACACGACATCAATGTCTCTCTAGTTCTTATTTCCTTTTCACTTCAAAAGAAAACATTTTGTTAAAAGGTCTTGCGTTGTTTTTACCCTCTCTTCTACCCGTTATAGTCCTATCACTTTCAACTAATTCTTTTTTCTTTTTAATTTATCGTTTATAAGGGTTCATTAATTAGGACAACAAGAATCAAACAGCATGAAAAAGGGAGTAATTATTTATGGGGACAGCTAAAGTGAAATTTGGAATTTTGCTATAATGCCAAATTGCATGATCAAGACTTGGGGTTTGTCATATGCTTGGATAATAATTATGTGATAATACTTTTACGGAGAATTAAAAGAATAATGACAAAATAAACAATGTCTTGTGAGTGAAAAAAAAAAAAAAAGATACGCCCTTTCAATATGTTTACTATGTCGTGTTATTCACTAAACCATTTTGTAATAAGTATGATTATTATTAGTCATTATAAACTTCCTCTTCCTTTTAGATAAAAGTCCAGCCGATAAATTGCATTCTCTTTGTTTTTTAATTTTTAGACGAGTAGTACTTGGTTTTTTGGGAGGGATATCCAGGGTAGAGTTTTGCGAATGGTGTTAGATTTGGAAGCTTCAACTTGCAAAAATTGTCAATGGAAGATAAGGAATTAATTGCAATAATTGAAAGATGCACATTAAAACAATTCATATTTCATTCTCAAAAATTAGGAAGCGAGTGATTATACCGTGCATCCTGTTCACAATATTTGGTGAACGAGTTTTATATTTACATGTGCTTTTATAGCAATAAGTTAGGGATATTAATTCATTATAAATTAAAGTAATTATGAAATTAATATTAGCAGACAATCGAGTTCGCAAGTCCATAATTTACTCAATAAGATTTTACAATTAAAAATACCATTCCTAATATAAGTAAAATTTATAATCAAAACCTACCTTATCTGTACCATATGTGAAGGAAACAAAAAAAAAAAAAAAAAAAAAAGAATTTCGATGGATAAAAGTATGTAATTGGAAAAAATCACTACTTGTTCGTACAATATAGATTAGAAGTTCATACAATCATACATATATATTGTATTGTAATGCTTAAATTAACTCTGTAATTAGACTTTTGGTTCATAACCTACTTTAGTCAAGTTCATAACTCATTGTATTTAATTTTCATAATTTATATATGTTAGTTTTTTTTTCCTTTTTTTGTGCTTTGATAATGGATAATAGTTGCTTACGTATATTTAATTTTATGGTAGTATATTCATGATGTAATTTAGATTTTTCATACATGTATTAAGTAATGTTTAACTTGTGTTTTCATGTTAGTTGTGGTTGAATTGTGTGAACAATTTAATATATTTTTATGAATATTTTATGGTGTGTGGAAACTTTAAATATATTTTTGAGCCTTTGAACAATAAGTTATATTATTTTCCAATTATGCTATTATGAACATTGTAATTATATGTTGAGGTCATGAATATTTGTGTTTTGTTTCATGTATAATGCAAAATAATAGTATGAATATTATATTAAAACTTTTGAATTTCTTGGTCATGGAAATCGCATACAGTTATTATGAATAATTTGAAATTGTATTCAATTTTAATAAATCATGGAATCTCTACATTATATAAAGTGCGGAAGTACTTTTTGTGCACAGTTAAAGACAAGTTGCGGGTTCGAACGCTGATGTGGCATATTAATATTGGACCGCTACTTTTTCTCCTTTGACCGTCGGTGTGTATGAACTGACCTGTCTATCCCGTTGCCAGTTTTCTCCTTTTGGTTTTATGTCGTAAAGAACAAAATTTGAGACTACAGTTTTACCTGAGTGATACATCAATCGAGCGCGTGAAAGCCGCCCCAAGAGAATCTGTGTCCCTTTTCTTTCACCGATCCTTAATTAGATCTGTTTCTCCTTGTTTGATTTACCGTAAGCTGTTTGATTTTCGTCCTCTCCTCAAAAATCATCTATTGATTTGTGGGTTTGTCCTGATTTTTTGATTGATTAATTTGTATGAGCAGAGACTGGTGCAGCATCACCCGACTCAGTACGTGACATCAGAGGAGGTGAGCATTGGGAAAATCAAGTTTAAAGCTTTTGGTTTGGGTGGTCACCAGATGCCGCGTATGGAAGAATTACTATGCCAAGTTAAATTTGAATTAGGGATTCTATGCCTCTATGTGAAAGGATAATTAAATTAGATTTGTATGAATATTAGAGGATTTTGATGTTTTGTCTTACCCCATTGTCAGTGGAGATTTGGAGCAAAAACCATCAATAGTTTTAACTTGATTGGTAAATTCGGCAGCGGTATTGTATTGCATACATGTTCGAATTTGAGTTAAAAACTTTGCAAATTAATTTTTTTTTTCTACTGAAATCTGTGATGTGCTTAAGTTGAACATTTCAAATGCCAAAAAGAAAAACAAATTGTGTAGCAAGTTTTTGGATTTCGAAAGACAGTGTACAGAAGGGGTTGAATTTTGATCCAATTTTGATTTCTCTGTAACCGTTTCTCAATTCAGCAGATTTTATTTGGAATTCGATATGGGATTTGGCCGGAACATATGGATATATAAAATTCATTACTGTCAATAGATTTTTGTTTTCAATTGCCATAAAGTCTGTGTTTTTTTACAAAATGAGAATGAATTTATTTTAGATACAAAGTGGAACATAAATTGATTAAATAATAGTGGGATTTCCAAATTATGATTTATTGTTGGTCTGTAGATTTTGAAAGGTGGTTGCTGTATACTTTATCGGTGTTCAAAAGTGATTAATTTGGTGCATTCAGAGTGTTGTTTTACTAATTACAAGAAATGCTAAGAAGATATGATTATATTCTTCATAGATGCATTGTTTGGTAACTTAAATGGAAACTCAGCGAATGAACCTTGTTGTTTCCATTTGTCACCTTTCCTAATTATGATGATACGTGTTTGAATTTACAGTTGTAGCCAAATTTAATTAGCCAAATTTAACAGTCCAAAGCTGGTCACAGACAACTCAAGCTTCTTACATACCTTTTGAATTTTGGTTTTGACAGCGGTCCAGGTTCTTCCTCCATGTGTTGCCACAGTGAAGACTGACGATAGGGATACTGGATTTTACCATTGCTACCAGGACAAAGGTTAACTTCTATTTTACTTAGATTTACTTTTTGTGTAAGAAAATTTCACAATAGATTGGATTCCATATTAATTTGGACTGTTAGGGATTTTAAAAAGAGATTTTTCTCGCTGTTTTCAATTTGTGTTAAAAAGGTTCCAAAATTGATTCTTTCCAATTTGATATTCAAATCACTGTTCTTTTATGGGATTCTTTCTAATTTGATATTTTAGTCGTTGTTCTTGTAATGGGATTATAGACCTTGTTGATTTGAGCAACGTTTTCCCTTAAAATCCTTCTCCTATGGATCTGTGGGTTCATTGGAGATGCTCAAACCCCTTTTATTGTTCTACTAAAGCTATTGTTAGAATTTTGACTTCAATTATTAACAATTCGTTTGGTCGTTTTAAAAGTAGCCACTGGTTTCCCATTTGTGGG